AAAAAGAGAGAGATATGGATCCATCATCATCAGATTGTCATACCGACGGTTGATGTTAGCCTAACGCACTCCACGGATCTTGACATTGCCGATAATTCAAAAGGCTCAAAGTTGGACATGGACATGGAAGCTGCCACAAGAAGAAAAGAAAGCCCCACGAAGCACTGCATGTAGAGGAACACATCCTGCCGATTAGGATTTTGTGAGAACGAAGCCTATCTATCCACAGTTCTCGAACAGACACTTTCGCTGTATGCATCGTGGTAATCGAAGCAAAATTGTACTCTATTATCTATACTCCGATCCAATTTTCACGATAGATACAGCTGACTTCACTGCTAGGCAATCAAGCTATCTACACCAACCACATAGTGAAAACAGCGTGACAAATCTTTATTCATTTCAGCGAAACCAGTCGCACCACGTTTCCTAATCTGTCATGTTGATCGTTAAGTAAATCCCACGTCTTTCGTTTACATCCGCGCCCCGCTCCCATCTCGCTGTGATTTTCACTTAGATGACATATACCCCGAAAATCAAAAATCGTGAGGGCCCGCTCTACTCATCTGGTGGATAGATAAAATATCATTATATGCACCGTTTCAAATACCCTAAATCCCTGCCGGAGCAATTGAGGGATTTCACACAACTCCAATCACACGTGTGTTCTTCATGTGTCTACGGTACCGTCCCTTAAATAATTCAAATCGAATCTTTCCACGAAAACTTGCGATTTCTAGCGAAGGTATCGTGCACGACTTCCGCTGGCAACGCCCCTTCCCCCTTCGATACAAGTGTACTGTTTCACTATAGGATTACAAGCCAGGCTACACGATCTCCGCTCAATCGTATCAGCGAATACACTCAGGCGAAGACATCCCCGCTTTCTAATATATACTTTCTTTGCATTGAAAATGTATATATGCAACCATTCCTATCGCATCGATCATTTGAAACAGTCACAAAATCGGTTCAGCAAAACCTCAAACATCCCTCATCTACTAGCAGCCAACCCATCAGCCATCTCTCCTGCCCACGTAAGTACTTTCTATTTTACCTCTTCTGTTTGACAATGTTTTGCCTTTCAACATGGCCACTCACCTTCCTCTTTCGGACTTCAAGTTTTCAGAACTCCTTCACCATGTCTTCCCAAACACCCGACATCAACACACGTCGTCGCAATCGAACCCTACTTCCGCGGGTATCAACAGCAAGAAGAAAAAGGCCGGCGGCAACAAAGCAAGAGGTCCTTTCAACTCCTGTGAGTTCCACGCTGTAATTCCCAGCAACCTCAAGGAAGACGAAGAATACCCCTTCCCCGGAATGTTCCTCAAGTTCACAGGCTTTGTTGAAAAGAAAGCTACCGGGTGTATGTACAACGACGCAAAGACCACTCCGTCAACGGCGTTAAACCCAAAGACATGATGGCCTTTGTTCAAGCCCTCGCTGACAAAGCACATGATCGAGTGGGTATTCAAATTGGTGGACCCCGCTTCTGCTGATGGGGAAAAGCTCCTTATGTACGAGGCCACCAAGGTACTTCTTATGACCAAAGAGGCTTTGTTATCATGTGCCCCAGAGGTGAAGTTGACGAACAAACTGGTGAACGTTTCTTACCCCAGCTCCCAACCCCAGAAATGGCCTTGAAGTGGTTCAATGAAACCTTTAAACCGGCCTACATGCAATACGTGTACGACCCGGCAAAGAAGGATGAACCCTACCTAGTTCTCGACGAACAGGACAAGTGGTACAAGGTCCATGACACCTGGAGTGAGCTGCTCACCCACTCCGACATCATGACTACCTTGTGACGGATTCTTGGACGATCAAGGCGAATACCGCACTGTATCCGAATTCCCTCAAGGACGACAAGGGCCATGTGTACTCTATTTGGCCTCGTGGTCAACTCCCGGCTTCACGTCTTACGTCCGTTGATTTCACCGAAACAACCTTGATGCATCGGACTTCGGTCGCTGCGGGCCATCACTGGTGCCCGTCGCAACATTATTACAAGCCACTACGCACGACACCATCCCCCGCCCCCGCCTCTACTCCACCAGTTCGCCTTCAAGCTGCCACACTGGCCTTCCCCATGGTTTTGCACTACCCCCGGCATGAACTTTGAACCTTCTTGGGAACTCTTCTGGAAAAGCACCAGCAGGAGAACGGTGGTAAGTCTCCTACAGTAGCTTCCCGTATAAATCCCCCGTGCCCTCACTTTCAAATCCTCAATACTGGACCTCCCAATATTATTCGCAAATCATTCCCAGTTCCAATGCAACCAAATACGTCATCTCCCGTCCCACCTGTTCCACGAACCACGTCGGCCAAAGTATCACCTGCGAATAGTCAGAATGATGACACTCCACAAGGTATGAAGAAAGCTGCCGAACTTCCTCACGATCCTATTACCGAATACCCCAGTTCCGACGAAGAGCAGGAAACAGAGGAAAAAGAAGACACCAAGCTCCCAGCGGAAGCGAGCCAACCCTCCACTTAACACACGTTGACTTCAAAATTGCAAAACCTAAACCCTAAATATAAGCCACATGATTCATTCGATTCTATTCACCATTATCCTGTATTAGTAGACAAGTTAAACTAGTACTGGAAACGGAGACGACCCAGGGGGCATATGAATTGAAAGATCGCCCCAGAACCGGTGTAATCACAGACCTCAATGCTGGTTACTCTTACTTTGGGTCCCGCAAAGGTCCATGACTCAGGATAGCAACCACCACAGCATCGGCATGCAATCGGCGGGTCATGGCCAAAACTTGAAGAGAAAGACGACAAGCTGGAGAGCAACCCAAAGGTCTTCTCCTCTATCTTCTAGCCACTGCTCTATCTATCTATCTATCTAGTCTAGTCAGCTAGTCTAGTTGAACGAACCTTCAAAAACTTCAGCATGAGTACCGGCAATAATCCCTCCTTGTGGAACGATGTAAAGGCAGCCGCCAAGGTCGCCGGCAAGAAAGCGAATGTGGCAGCCCAAAAAGCCAAGATTCACGCCGAATTGGTGATTGTCAAGAACAAGATCAAGACGCGCAAACACCAATTTGGAATTGAATTGTACGACTTTTTGGTTCCCTTTGCCGAGAAGGATCCTTCGTTTATAATAGAAAGCGATACACTCACGCACATCCAAGGACTCTTTGTCACGGCATTCAAAGACAACAAAGCGCTGCTGCAGAAAAAGGCCGCCAAAGAACAAGACCTCAATCGAGCGTACGAGAAACGCGCCATGGCATTTCCCGTACCCGCAGAGACCATTAGTGAAAAAGTCGTCAATGCCGGAAAGAGTGCCAAAATGGCCGGAAATGAAACGGCACTCAAAACAAAAATGAACATGTACGAAATGGAAATGAACGAAAACAAGAAAAATTTTGGTGTGCAAGCGTATGGGTTACTAGTCCAATTAGAAGACAATTCCAAATGGTTGCCCACCGATAGAGATGTACGCTTCTTTTACGATCAAGCCAGACGAGAAATCATGCAAATGGAACAAGAACGAGCCAACAAAGAAGCTGATCTGGGTGTACTGGGATTGCAGGTATGATGATGATGATCATGATGATGATAAACACACACACACCAAAAAAACAAAAACAATCAGCAGTCTATCTATCTATCTATCTATCGTGTGGTCGTCGTCTATTTGGTTTTGTGGTCCTCTTTTTTGGCTCGAGGGATCCTTCGTACCGCACGTTATTAGGGCGATTCCCTGGACAATTTACTGCAGAACAAAGGAGACGAGAGAATGATTCAATCGAATCACCGCGAATATGTAGTTGACAATGCCGATTACTAGTCATGAGTAGCCTAACTAAATAGCTAGGTAGTAAGGGCCAATGTCACTGTCTCGCGCCCATACGGTATAGAAGTCAAGGGTTGAGAAGGTGCAATCAATAAATCAACACACTTTTGGTGGTTGTCTGCTTTTTGGTTTCGAAGGCTTCAAATTATATTTTACTCATTTTTACAAAGCCGCCATCTCCTCTCGGGTGTCGAATCGAATCGAATGATACAACCTTCCGGGCACATGGGTGGACGTGCTGAGACGTGGGCTGTACCTAGTAGGCTAGTTGGTAGGTCTAGCTACATGTAGTGGCATGAATTGCTGCCGCACCTATATTCATGCCAGGAATAGCTACAGTACCGCACCTATTTCTACATGACGTACCTATTTCTACATACCCAGTAGCCACCTTGGTATGCAGCTATTGATAGACACTCCAGGCAGCTATTCATGACCACTCCAGCAATGCATGCATGTAGTACGACTGTACCCACAAAAAAGGGTGCTTGCAAGGCTGCACCATGTTTGATCTGAACTCCAGATTGAAATCTGGTTCTGGATCCAGTTGGCCGCTCTTATAAAAAACGAACCTGGTTACTTAGGGGACCGAGGGCGCAAGCCCGATGGTAAAGGCCGGGACCCGAGGTCGGAGGTCCTCTAAGTAACTGACCATCGGGCTTCGCCCTCCTTAAGCCCTCGGTCAGTTACTTAGAGCGACCGGAGACCGATGGGGCACAGCCGCCCCTAAGTAGCCGGTTCGTTTTGTTAGGAACGATAACGGCTGGTTTGTATTTGTAACCGCCGGTCTGTGTAGACCTCTGTAGAGGGACTTTATGGGGGGTTAGGCAGCAGCGCGGGGGAGGGAAAAAGAAAAAGAAAGGGAGAGGGTTATCAGTTGGATTCCCGATTCCGAATCAGAGAGCCAGGCAGCCACCCAACGAACCGTTCGGGTCATCCGATACTATTATATGAGGGGAGATTGCAGAAAAGAGGTCATTCCCCCCCATCCTCTATATAATTTTTGTCCGAAGAACAGACTTTACGTCAGCAAGTATGTGTACGTTGATGCCGAATTCAAATTGATCCAACGGATATCTGACTGGCTCTTTCGTCTTTCCCAATCCTTGGCTCGCACCAAACCCTCCCATTATTTTGAAAATTGGACCAAACATCGCTGGTGCACTCCGGATCAATCTGCTGTTGTTGTTGAGGTTTGTTGTTGTTGTTGTTGTTGTTGTTGTTATCCACAATGGCGACAATGGCATGCATGCTAGCTACTAATCATTATCCTATCGGACGTCGTCCTTCCTCTACAGACACTCCTTCCTCTACCAACACCGTGACTCCTTCCTCTACCGACACTCCTTCCTCTACGGACGATCCTTCCTCTACCGACGCCTGCTGGTCTATTTTGTCTTGAAGTCAGCGACTACGTGGGTAGGGGCAAGACTCTTGGCAACAACAACAACCACTACTACTCCTACTTCCTCTACCGAACGTCCTCCTTCCACCGAACGTCGTCCTTCCACCGAACGTCGTCCTTCCACCGAACGTCCTCCACCGAACGTCGACAATGAGGATTGCTACTAGTCCATGGTTCTCCAAGTGGCTGCAAAGTGTCAACAGATACCCATTGAATGAGCTGAGGGCCACTAGGAATGGAATCACTTGCAAGTACATCATTGTGGAAGAACAAGAGCCGCACCTCACCAACTACCAGAAGTTTCATTGTTTGGTCGCGAATGAAATAGCAGTGGCGAACCTTCAGGAGTTGATCTACCAAGGAGCATGCAAACCTCTTCCTCCTGACATGACAGGCATCATGGATTACATGTTGTATCAGGGACTTCAGAAAAGCCCGCAGTGGTACAGGGCTGTTCTTGCTACCCTTTATGAAATGTTGGAGGGACCAGATCCCTGTCAAAGGAAGGACATCTTTATTGAGTGCATTTATTGGTTGGTGAAGGAAAGGGTCCAAGAGCGGTTTGATTTGGGCTCTGGTGAATGTGGCATAGTGATGGCTGCGTGGCATGGGTATTACAGTCAGTGGTACCAAGACAAACTTTCCTTCAAGGATTTCAGTATGATGAATGAGGAGTTTGTGACTTTGTGCATTGATGACATTGACTATTCTGGAGGCCTGCGACCCCAATTTGCTATGTTCATTGATGGAATTGAAATGTAAGTTAATATCTAGATTACTAGATTAAAATGATGCAACAATGCTACCCATTCTGCTGACCATATCAACTGTATTGAGACCGGCAATAGGCGTCATGTGGTGGTCTTCCTCTCCTGTTGGTCAACCACTGGCAATAGCGCTGACAGCAGCCATTTGGTGGAGGACGTGGCTGGAAAGGAGCTGGCAGTATTGGTTGGAATTGCTGCTGCATTAAGGCAAGTTGCATCATTTGAATCTGGTGTTGTTGCTGATAGAGAAAATGCCAGTAATGAACCAAAAACAGGGGGAACGGTCAATGACCTGGTCACTCCCCCTCTTCCCTTAAGTATAGAACCATAGGTAAGACTGATTATTTTCTAGAATAAGCCTGCTAATTGTAAAGCTGTAAAGCTGAATTGTAAGCTGTATCCCGTCGCATCCTCTCGTATTTCTTGTCGTCAGCATGCATTGTTGTCTTTGCGGGAGTTGGGGATTCGTAGGTGTAATCGCATTCTTCATTGGCGCATCTTAGTCGAATTTGTGACACAATGCCGCAGTTGTGAACGGTCATGATCAACGGCATCGGCTCACCATCCAAATCGCAATGAGGGCATTTGCCAAAATCAGCAACCAGCTTTTCGACTTGGCTCGTCTCCAACATTAGCCGACTGCTTGCTTTGGTATTGAATTCAGTGGCGGTAAGCCCATTGTTGTCTTCTTCTTCGGTAGTACATTCTTCTCCCTCATCTATTGTAACCTCTTCTGCAGCTGCCTCAGGATTTGGGTCTTCCTCGAACAGTCTCTTCTTCTTGTGCTTGTTGGTTCCACTACCATCATTTCTAGTGGTCCTTCCAGTGCTGACACAAGTATCATTTATTCCTGCAATTCCATTCCATCCACCTTCACTGGCAGCAAGTCTGGCTTGTTCGGTGGTACTGCATGGTTTCCATTTGGTGCGTGGGGTGGGAGTTGACTCCATCGTCTGGGTTGCTTCGAACCTACCGGTAGGCTACTGTTGGCGTTTGCGAGTGAAATGTACGTCGGTCAATAATGAGTGTCACTGCCTTTGCAGTGTTCTGGTCGCAGAATACTGTCACCAATGCGCACTTGGATTTGGTGCCTCGCCGGGCTCGCAGAGGACTCGAAGATATAAGGTACGAGGTGCGCGATCTTCGAAATTTGGCGGTGAAGCTAGAATTCCTTGGCAAAATAGCGCGAATTTGGATCGGATCCACTATCCAGCGAGATTACCATCCACCACGATTCCAAATTCCGTACACTTGCAAAAGATCTATCAAAACAAACGTCACTATTATTCGCAGCTTTTGGCTGGCTTACATCCTGGACCGAACCACCTTTTAAAATTAAAATACCTCACCTCGGTCGCGGTCCCCTCTACTGTTTTACTATAAGCAAACAGCTAAGGGGAACGACGTTAATGCACTCTAAGCCTTGCGGCGTTTGAGCGGGAGTCATTTTCGTTTAGTCACACTCAACGCCTCACTGGTATAATATTTTAAAATAGACAAGCGGTACCGGTATCCATGACTAAAATGTGAGACGCCCGCTGCTAGGAACTTAGACCGTTGAGAATCAATTCCGTCAGTTAAGTTTAGTTAATTAGGATTAACCCTAACGAAACCCCTATCCACCTCCTTTGGTGTCGAAGACTCGACTCGACTCGACTCACCCCTCTCCGCTACAGCACATGTACCATAGCGAAAACTGTCCTCCAATACTGGATCTCACATCCCCAAAACCCACCGGTGTCATGAAGCAGACACGGCAAGCAAGAAGAGAAGTTAGCTGTCAAGAAGATTTCCTGCTGCTACCGGTAGACAGTTGTCGACCTAGCTAGCTTGTTGCTGCTGGATCTGTCTTTTTGTAGCTCTCTGATTGATCGATCGATTGATTTTGATCGATTCGTTCAGTGTTTATAATCTGTCTTTCTGTTGTCGTCACAAGGAAACCATGAAGGAAGACAAACCGAGTTTCACGGCCGTCTTTGTCGCCCTGACGGTGATCATGTTGGGACAGATTGCTTTCCCATTGGTACCCCCAGGAAGTGTCCCCCTTCAAATGGCGCTCCTCGAAGCCGTGGGATTGCCGTGGGATGAATATCTCTTTCTGTTGCTCTTGCGCAGTCCATTGGGACCCTTGGTGTCGCGGCTGGTGATTGGACTGGCCGACATGGTTTGCCCAAAGTCCCTAAAACTAGTAGGATTCAGAAAGTGCTTTATCCAACAACAAGTACAGCAATTCTTGCAAGAACATGCCACGCAGAATCCACAAGTCTTGATTCTGGCAGCGGGATATGACACACTCTCTCTGCGGCTTGCCAAACAATACCCACAAGTTCCCTTTTGGGAAATTGATCATCCCGCCACGGGCAACTTTAAAAACAAAATCTGGACCAACCAAGACAGTAATAATACTGACACCAAGGGTCCGCTCCGCATACTAGGTACAAAACCAGACAATCTGCATCATGCCACTGTCGATTTGACCATCCACAAGTCCTTGGCAGCAACATTGGGGGACAACAACAAGAAACCAAACTATAACATTGCCAGTCCCACCGTCGTCATTGTCGAGGGATTGTCCATGTACTTGACCAAGGAACAAATCCAAAACCTTCTTGAGGACATTTCTCATGCTGTGGGACCCCAATCCATCGTCACCTTTGACATGCTGGCCACGAAATACGACGACAAGGACAATCAGCCATATCCAGATTGTGGATTCTTCCTATCACCACTCATATTGCTCTATCTCAAACTAAAGAGTGAGCCATGGCTGCTCGGGTTAGATGCCAAGATTCTAAAGGAAGACATTCTAGGAGGCAATAATTCGAAATGGACCTTGCATGCCGGAGTGGAATCCTATGGGCCCGCCAATCTAGCCGCCATTCGATTGAGGGATAGCTAGCTAGCGGTATGCAACTGAACGTATGTGAGCAATGATGTTGCGAGCAACTACTAGTATGTTGGATTAGTAGCAGTGACATTTGTACAAACTGGGACAGGATTCCTGTGAACTATTGAATGATGAATCCAGAATCGAAGATGCTGCAACGCTTTTTAATTAAGATGGAAAACATTATAACTCCGATTGCTGTGCAACTGTATTCACTGAAAGAGAGATCAACCCTCCTTCTCCCTATACTTTAACCACTAGCGAGGCGGGAAGCAATCTCAATTGCAGGCAAAAGGAGAAGAGCAACCGCAGAGGCAGTGTTGAGAGAATGGTCGGCATTGTACTACATGCAGTACATGTACCGGCACCTGTTTTAGCTCTGCTGGAACCGAACCTTACCGTACTAGTACCGTGCCATTTCGAATTTTTCACACGCCGTGACTTGGGTTCTTCTCAGTTTTCTCTCACAAACTTTCGCCAAGCCTCTTCGTGTTGTGAAGCACCCTTCTCCTTCTTGTTCGCTCATATTCTCCCGTTCATCAACATCATCAACATGAGTTCCAATGGCTTGATTCCAGTTGAGATCGTCAATGATAGTTCTGCGGCTGGCGACGACGCCGGCGATGGCGAGAAGGACGTCTTGCGACGTCTCCAGGTCCCATTCAAGAAGATGACGCTTGGTGATCTCCTCACCAAAGCTCGTCGAGAGCTTCCTCGAGGCAACCAGAGTCTCTTTGTGGACAAGGAGGTTTTCCTTCGACAAAAAGTTGGCACTGTCGATGGCCACTTTGCCCTTGAACGCAGGGACGACCGTGCGCATAGTCAAGGCAACGGGATTCGCCCTGGAGATTCGATTCTCCTTTTACCTTCCCAGGATGAAGGATTTCAGCTTGCACGGCTGTACGAAGAATACGACGTCGAGGCAACTGTGCCTACCGCCTTTGAAATGCTCTCAATGCCTTTGAGCCCTCATTTAAAGTACACTGGAGTGACGCTGCTTTCCAAGCCAACAATTTCTGTCATTCAAATCAAGCACGAAGGAGTCAAGATCGCTTTTGTGCTTCCCGGAAATGACGAGATCAAAATTGAGCGCAATGGAAGCAAACGAGCCATTGCAATTCCAAACAAACTTGTACACGTGGAGTTTGACAAAATTGTCTTCCTTGACGACCATAAGATCAGCACTTTCGTGGACCAAGTACGTAAGAACCATGTCACCATGTCGAACTTTGCGTCTCTCAAGTAAAAGATGCTGGTCTCTTTTAAACATTAGTATCGTTCCTCTTTCAGGTCCGCGAAGCCTTTGCGGCTCCTTTCAAAAAGGACATACTTCGCCTTGGCTACCAGGACCCAGAAAGCAGACTTGCGTACCAGTGCATATACAACTCCATGTCCAATAGCGACGCAACAGTACAAGATCTGAACCTTTCTGGCCCCAACGTGGAAGGTCATTTTTGGGGCACGACCATGGAGATCTTTGTCAAAACCCTAACAGGACGATCCGGCAATTAGTGCCTAAGCTAATTAAGAATCACGACTGAATGGTTGCAAGCGAGACTTATGCGAGACGGTCTCCTAAATAGTCTCCTAAAACCGGTGCGAGTATCCAAAACGGTCGCCTATTTTTAGAAGATCGCCTAAACAATCGTCTAATTCTTCGATAAACATATCGTTAAATCCTAGAAACAGTATCCTAAATCCAAGCAGTAGCCTAAATAGTCTCCTAATACCGGCAACCGTCGCCTAAACGATCACCTATTGGTAACGGTCGCCTAAACGATCGCCTAATTGTGAACTGTTCAATCGTGAAACAAACGTCACAACTTACCATTGCCGGATCGTCCTGGAAAAACGTACGCCTTGAATGGTGTCAATTCAAAGGATGCCGTATCTGTAGTCAAGCATATGATTCAAAAGGGGTATGACATCCCAATGAAGGAGCAGCGTCTCGTTTTTGCGGGTCGCAGTCTCGAGGATGACAAGATGCTGTCGGACTTCAATATTCAGAACGAAAGCACTCTTCACTTGATACTACGGTTGCGAGGAGGCATGTATCATGAGTCATCTGGTCGCGTGGACAATGAGACTCTTGAGGAGGAACGACGAGGTGGCAAAGCCTCTGTGGAGACGAAGCTTCTCTTGCCAGGAGGGCGTTCTGAACGAATCCGAATCGGTCTTTTTTGCACCGCTGCGAAGCTCAAGTTGATTCTTACTCGCAAGTTTTGGGCTCTTTTGCAAGGCGCCACCGACCACAAAGGCAACGCCATAGACGTCGAAGATGACGATGACGTGACGTTCTTAGGAGGGAACTAGGGCCTGATTGAGTAAAAATATGGCACAGGTTGACAAGACAGCGACTGCAAGTGGACCAGCTGGAGGCGCTTGAGAATAGCTTTTCAAATGGATGATTAGAGTGATCTGGGTATTTTAAAAGACCTGCAGTGCATTAAGACTATTGTAATATTCTTGGATTTGTACAGTAATTCCTATAGTAAAGCCGGCTTAACAGTACACACGGTACAGCCGAGTGTCGATACCGGTAGAGGTGCTTCGAACCACCGCACCGTAGAGGTACAAAGAAGGAGTGTCGATAGAGTGCTTATCATGTGCTTATGCATGTGCTTATCATGTGCTTATGCATGTGCTTGGAGACACTCATCAGGCCTGTAGTTTGTACTCGATAGAACCGGTACCGGTACAGTAGGATCCTACGTAGACTCAGTACTAGAGTCTACGTGTGACGTCATATGGTCTTAATCTGCAGAGAAAAAGAATTGACGGAGAGAAGTCTGAAATCTTCAACCGCCCGTAACTCCACCAATAAGTACACTATGAAGTTGCGAGATTTATGGCATACTCAACTACATGTGTTCTATCGTTTCCCCTCTTTACATGTACTATATTCCATATACAGCCCTGAAGATAATATTGCGGGATTCGGTCGGTCTTAAAGCCCAGATCACTCTACTACGGTATATTACGAGAACCCCGAGGAGACCACTAAGAGCTCCACTAAGTACACAACACAACACGGCATGTACTGAAAACTGTGTATTGTAGAAACTCGTAAGTTTCGACCTTCAAGTGGTTGGATGCGATTGTTTTCCAGGCTGGGCCTTCGTGGCCATGACCAAGCAGCTCCAACGATGTGTACTGTACCGTACGTCGAACGTAAAGGTACTAATACTCGAACTTCTGCACGGATTACTTTTCGGGACGAATATGCCTCAGTTTTGCCGTTGCGATGCTCTTGTTGGTGGTACTGATGCGGTCTAGTAGTTTGCTCGACCAACGACCTTCGGCATTGGGATCCGGCCCGACAATCTCCACGAGTTTGCCGTTCCATTCTGGTTTGGAGTCGATCCCCACCAACTGCATAATGTCTCCAACTTCAATTTGCATCTTCTCTCGGCAGGCTTTATTGTGACCACTCTGCCACGCTTTTCGTTGGCACTTGCGAGAGCAGTAAAACGTTAGCTTGCAACGTTCACAGCACCTCAACCTGAATTCGCCAAGCTCCTCCAAGGATGCTTTACAACAGTCACCTTTTTGTCCACCAACTGCCACTCGAGCCATCAGCTCAGGCCGATTCACGGGAGTGGAACTGAAGAATCGCTGTTGTGGTGGCATTAGAGAGCCATCTGCACGCAGCCGAGCCTGCGTCTCTTCAGCCCTAGAACTGGTAGCAGATGGGAAAGGTAAGGCCTGCCCCAAGCTGCAATCTCGTAGCCTGTCTACATTTTCTTGAATGACGCTTCGATTTTCACTCAAGACCCAAGCAACGGTTGCCTCTCCAACTTTCGAAGTTGATATGGTTGTATTAATTCACCGCTTCTTTTCATGATTGGTCGCTGTATCAATGAGGTGGAGGGCTTCTTGATAGTTTTCAGCGGCAACATGCCGGTCACCTCGTCGCCACTGCAGCAATCCGAGCGTCCATAAGGCTTCAACTCGATACACGTGGGGCTCGTTCTCCGACTCTGCCAGTCTCCTCAATGCTTTTCTATCGCCACGTGATGCTTCAAAGTACTGTTCACGCAGGATGGACATGTACTCAGAAAGGATATGATAGCGATTCTCTGCCAATACGTCTTCAGCAGCCATCACAGCTTCTAGGTACTTGTCTGCCGATTTTCTATGGTCACCAACATGAAAAAGCTTCAGCGGCTTCCTCTGCCAGTTTCCTGCACTTGGTCTTTTTCTTGATGGGCATGGAGCTTTGTATTTCTGCGATAAACTCGTCCATCCACCCCTCTCTTTGGATGATTTCGAGTTGCTACCGAAGCAAAGAAAGGTCAGTGCATTCTTCGTCTTCCTTCGTCTTCCTCTTCTTCGCCTTCCTCTTCCTTCGTCTTCGTATTCCTTTTCTTCGTCTTCCTTCAAGGCTACTGAATGGAACAAAATCGCTACTTCCCAACATGCATGCTTCCGCCTTCCGCCTATGATAGCTACCAGTATAGCGTTGGAAATTCTAAAACTTGCAATTTTTGAAAAGTCAAGAAAGATTTCTCAGTATCCACGACTCAGCAAAATTGTTGGAAAAGTTCATGTTCTTTTGTCGACTGGGTAACTTGACGCTCGACAATCGCTCAAACCAAACATGATAGAAGGACACCCCAGCCGAACGGCTCTCTTCATTGCCGCAGGTGTTCCTATCTTGGGCACCACAGGATGTGACTTGCTCCCTGAAGGCATTCTCCCTTTTCAGAAAGCCGTCTTGTCGGCACTGCAGCTGACCTGGGTCGAACGGATCTTTCTATTTGTTCTTTGTGACAATCCGGTCTTTTGTCGCCTCTTTGCATGGTTCGTCTCTACTTTGATCATTCCAGAAGATTTCCTCCCGGTGGCCTTTCGTAAAAGCTATTGAGCAGCAGGCGTGTCAATTTCTAGAAGGCCACGCGTCGAATTCCCAAGTGTTGGTGCTAGCAGCAGGCAGGATACGACACTCTTTCCCTTCGTCTTTCCTCCCAAGTTTCCAGAGACTTGCTTTTGGGAAGTTGACCATCCCGCCACTGGTCACTGTAAGGATCGCTTGTGGTCCAAGGATAAGAACAGTCAAGGAACAACAACGACAGCCCTATTGAAAAAGCCACCGAATCTGTTTCATGCCCACGTGGATTTGGTGGAGAAAGATGTTTTGGTGACATCACTCCGAGAGAAAGCATCGTACGATACAGTCACACCCACCATTGTTGTCATGGAAGGACTATTGTCTTTTTTGGATACGGATCAAATCAAAAACCTGTTTGAAAATGTAGCCCAAGTTGTGGGAGGACCAGATTCCCGTGTAGTCTTCAATATGCCGGCCGTGCAAGTCTGGCAAGTCCTTGGACTTTGGTTGGATATCCCTCCTGGCAGCTTATTTGGTCCGTAAACAAGGAGAGCCCTTCCTCCTGGGAATGAATCCAGATAAAATGCACGAGTTCTTTACGGATTCAAAATGGACCCTGCGAGGTGACGTCCAGTCCTATGGTCGAATGCGAGTGGCCACAGTGCAGTTAAAATAATACTATTCGAGCTTTTCCTTTCCATAAAGATAAGGATCATTGTGGGAACTCTCATCATCAGCTACCGCACTTGTGTATGTTTCTTGCTATAAAATTACGAAATGTATCCAAACAGTTCCGCGCATTGATTCGAATCTCCTTCTTTGCTGTGCCATGAATCACATGTCTTCAAAACAACTCTAGTCCATGCAGCTTTCTACTCCACATCAGGCACCCCACAGCGCATATTGGCAGGGACAGCCACGTCGATCTTCTTGGGGTAAGAGAGATTCAGATTCTTCATAATCTCCACAAAGTCTGACTCTGTCTTTCCCTCACCCAACCGTGGATTGGTTTTCTTCTCATCACCCAATTTGGCGGATGTACGTCCCTTGTAGTCATGGGCAGGATACACGATGGTTTCGTCTGGCAATGTAAAGAGCTGGGAGTGGACGGAATTGTAGAGTTTTTCTGCAGAACCACCTTGAAAGTCAGTACGCCCACAACCTTGAATCAACAGGGTATCTCCCGTCAAGACAAAGGACTCGTCGTCTGCAACATACGACAGGCATCCCTCAGTATGACCAGGAGTGGCTCGTACCGAAATGCTGCGAGATCCAAACACAATCTTGTCTCCTGGTCCAATTTTGATGTCGGCCTTGGCACCCGATGCATCGCTAATGACAGATTGAAAACCATCAATTTTGGTTTTGAGCAGGCCAGTGCCTGTGATGTGATCTGCGTGTGCATGAGTGTTGACACCATAAACCAAATTTAATCCCAAAGATTCAATCTCCTTCAAGTCACGGTCCACTTGGATATCAACAGGGTCTACGATAATGGCATCCTTCGTGGAAGGATCCCACAGCAGATACGTGTAGGTAGAAGAATCGTCATCAAACAACTGTTTGAACCCCATGGCTTCTCCTGCTTTGACAATAGATCCTTTTCCTGCGGTCATGGTAGAAAAATATTTGTGGGGTGGATGATACGAGTATTTGACTGTTGATGGGAGAATGACCCGTACACAGAATTGCGACGAAAAGCTGGTGGCTTTGACGGTAGAAAAGGCAGAACAAGAGAGTTTTCGAGCAACGAAACGGATCAAGTGCATTCAGTTGCTAAATTATGAGATGATCTGATACCACTTTGTTGGCTTTCAGTGCTTTGCGCTTGACGACAACTTTGATGTGGCTCTTTCTTTTTATGTTATTCCGTTATTCCGTCCAAATGATTGAACCTGTTTTCCCCCCCCAAAGCAAGAAGTGTTGGCCTGGTTGGGACAAACGAGATGTGGATGTCAATCGGCCTTCTCATCGGCGGCAATTGAATTAGGCCGTTGGATTAGTGTTCGGGGTATCGTTTCTCTGCTTTCTGACTTTGTGAGAGGTATCGTACATGGATGATATGTAGCTAGTAGTATGCATGTACCGGTATGCATAGACTAAAACCCAAGCTACCTAACAACCCAACCCAACTTGCGTAATTGTACGAGTACGGGTGCCGGTACGGTAACAACTAGTCAAAGGCCTCTGACCTTTGCACCCTCAGCATGCCACTCCCGATCCCTTCCGTGAGTCTCCTTTTATGGTACACTCACCGATCCAATGGTACCGGTGCGTGTACGTCCTCACGCAATGCTCCCATGCATTGGTTGAATGTCAATGGTGGTCAAGCTGGTAGCACGATGACGAGCCGATGAGCCGCAACAGGTTGCACGGAATCCATCCTTCCATCTCAGAGGATCCACCAAGTGCTTCCCCTCTGCCGAATGGTACCTGGCACTCCTGGGCGACTTTATGGGGGGGTTAGGCAGCAGCGCGGGGGAGGGAAAAGAAAAAAGAAAGGGAGAGGGTTATCAGTTGGATTCCAAATTCCACCGTTGAGAGGATGCATGGCTTGATTCAGTCACGAAAATGCCAGTAATGCACCAAAAACAGGGGGAACGGTCACTGACCTGGTCACTCCCCCTCTTCCCTTAAGTATAGAACCATAGGTAAGACGTCCGAAGAACAATCTTTACGTCAGGAAGTTTGGCAACTGACCGGTAACCTTTTTGAATTGTTTCAACGGATATTTTTTCCTCCCAATCCTTGGCTCGCACCAAACCCTCCCATTATTTTCGAAAATTGCATGGAACACTTGCTGGTGCACACGATCGCTGTTTTTGACTGGTAAGAAAGTCGACAATGTGTTGTTGTTGGTATCTGCCACAATGTTGTTGTTGTTGTGTTGTTGTTGTTGTTGTTGTCATCTGCTACTACGGTAGCTACTCTACGTTCACACTGTTATGCATTATCTAACATTGTTGGGCTCGCACTCCACCACCGACCGATCGAACGTCGTCCTTTTATCCTTCCACTACCGACGCTCAGTCTACCGACGCTTCCTTCCTCTACCGATACAACAACAACAACAAACTACTAAACAACAACTTGCTGGGCTATTTTGTCTTGAAGTCAGCGCCTACGTGGGTAGGGGCAAGACTCTTGGCAACAACAACAACCACTACCACTACTACTCCTACTTCCTCTACGGAACGTCCTCCACCGAACGTCGTCCTTCCACCGAACGTCGACAATGAGGATTGCTACTAGTCCATGGTTCTCCAAGTGGCTGCAAAGTGTCAACAGATACCCATTGAATGAGCTGAGGGCCACTAGGAATGGAATCACTTGCAAGTACATCATTGTGGAAGAACAAGAGCCGCACCTCACCAACTACCAGAAGTTTCATTGTTTGGTCGCGAATGAAATAGCAGTGGCGAACCTTCAGGAGTTGATCTACCAAGGAGCATGCAAACCTCTTCCTCCTGACATGACAGAATCATGGATTACATGTTGTATCAGGACTTCAGAAAAGCCCACAGTGGTACAGGGCTGTTCTTGCTACCCTTTATGAAATGCTGGAGGGACAGATCCCTGTCAAAGGAAGGACATCTTTATTGAGTGCATTTATTGGTTGGTGAAGGAAAGGGTCCAAGAGCGTTTGATTTGGGCTCTGGTGATGTGGCATAGTGATGGCTGCGTGATGGTATTCAGTCATGTACCAAAGACAAACTTTCCTTCAAGGATTTCAGTATGATGAATGAGGAGTTTGTGACTTTGTGCATTGATGACATTGACTATTCTGGAGGCCTGCGACCCAATTTGCTATGTTCATTGATGGAATTGAAATGTAAGTTAATATCTAGATTACTAGATTACAATGATGCAACAATGCTACCCATTCTGCTGACCATATCAACTGTATTGAGACCGGCAATAGGCGTCATGTGGTGGTCTTCCTCTCCTGCGAGTCAACCACTGGCAGTATCTCTGACAGCAGCCATTTGGTGGAGTGCTGAAGGAGCAGTATGGTTGGAATTGCTGCTGCATAAGGCAAGTTGCATCATTTGAATCTGGTGTTGTTGCTGATATAGAATCAGGTTACCAATGTAAGAATTTCTTGTTTGTGCTACAGGAGGAGCTGCTTGTGGAGGTGGATTGGGTGGTGGAGGTTGGAGCTGTGGAACCGGTTGTGGTTTGTGGTTGTGGTTTGTGGAACTTGTTGTGTTTTGAGGTTGTTGGAACCGGTTGTGGTTTGTGAAGCCTTACAATCTGGACTGGTGCAAAATCTACACAAGCAACAATCAATTGGTGAGTACTTCTGCCTGTGAGGTTTGAATCCAACAATGTACTCTGAAAAGAATTTTTCTCCATTATCCACTGGCAGTGGTTCTGCATTTGGAAATGGTGCATCAGACAACAGCACTCTGGCCATGTCATTCAGGTAAGCAACACACTTGAATGGTTCACAGTAGGGACAACTCTTCTCCCATCCAGCGGAATGACCTTTCTCTTTCTTGCCTCCGCTGATCTTGACAGGAAGGCTCTTTTGTGGCGAATCTTGAGGTTGTATCTTGCAGTCCAGCAGGTGAGTGCATCAGCAAGGCTTCTTCTCATTCCAACCATTGCCAAAGGGGCAAACTTGTCATGGAAAGCTTCTAACTTGGATTCTCCTCTCCTTGAAGGTACTCTGGAATCTTGTGCTTGGATGTTGGGAGATGGCTGGATTGTGTCATACATTTGCTCATTGGTAGTGGATCAGCCAAGTGATGGCTTTCTCAATGCAGTTTTCTACTGCTGGCTTGGTGTCTGGAGTGAACAAGGTAAATTTCTTGACAGGATCCAGTCTTCCTTGGCCAGGTTGGCTGCCCTCACTGGCTGTCACCTTGTACCTGCAGAACCACTTTTGAATCTTCTGCTCTCATTAGTTGGTCTCATCATCCTCTTCCTTAGTACTTGGAGTATCTGTTACTGAAGACCCTTGATGATTGCATGTCTGAGATCTCCACCATGGAATAGTGTTTGCCATCAGCTGATAGGAGACCATGTTTCAGAGCATAGAGAACCTTCTCATAGTCCTGAGGTAAGTACTCATAGAGGCAATCCAAGAGAGCATCGTGACTGAATCAAGCCATGCATCCTCTCAACGGTGGAATTTGGAATCCAACTGATAACCCTCTCCCTTTCTTTTTTCTTTTCCCTCCCCCGCGCTGCTGCCTAACCCCCCCATAAAGTCACGCGGCTCGAGACGGCAGCAGACAGCAGCAGCTCCAACCAGTGCTGGATCCACTCGACTGAGTACATACATGTACATGTAGCTACACTAGATAGTGCCTCTGCTCCTGGAGGTTCTTTACACCAGATAACATCATTGTTATTATTTACACGTACAGTACTCCAAGAAGCGGATGTTTGTGTTCCCTTTTTGCAAATGAATGGCTATTTTGCCAAAAACCGTCCTCACAAGCCATCAACTGCAGTACAGCAGTGTTTACACCAAGAGATAGATCGTGATTTCACTGGTCGATAATAAGGCCAATACATGGACCGATCGACCAGACTTGGATTGTGGATTGGCAAAGAGCACAATGGAGAATCAGGCGGAACGCAAAATCGATCCAGTCTGGGCTGGTTGTGCTGCGGAAGAATGCTCTCGCTGGACCAGCAGCTCCGAAAGTGCAGCCAATCTGGTGCCAACAACTACTAGTACAGCCATGTAATGCATGGCTGGTGATGTGAACAACCAGGTATTAGTACGTAGCCAGCCAGCTAGACGCCTGGGTTCCCTTTTGCTGCGGTGTGCCTCCATCATCAACTCCCACCTCCTTTTTTGTCATGGCTGGTGCCCCCAGAGCTATCCCGGCTGACTTGACTTCTGTGCTGAACTCACGTCCATGACAAGAAGGACTTCACCAACAGGCTGGCAAGCAATTACGGCACGTACTTTGCATGTCCCCATTGCTATTGACCACCTTCACATCCCAACAATAGATGCATGAAATGAAAGCAAAGGTCGTCACAACATCAAACTACACTGCCGGGGTGCGTCATACATCAAGGCGGGGATCCACAATGTTCCCTCCATGCGCCGCAATCAATCAATGGGTGAGCATTGACCGGTGCGGATGCTGGTAGCATTTCATTAAAACCTTGTAGCTCAGCAGGCACAATTGTCGGATTGCCGGTAAATCTGTCCCAGTCTGGTCATTCTTCAAAATCACATGTGATGGTGTTTGTGACATTGGTGGTACTCTCACCGGCAGAAAACTGACTGACTGTAAGCAACACGAGTGAAGCTGCTGACCCAACCAGTAGTGCAAGCAGTAGGATCAGTGCCGAAACCAGCCCCCGTTTGAGCTGGCTGCAAGCTCAGTTCAATATCCATTCCATCACAGGCAGTACATGCAGTTGGACTCGGACAAGGTAGATTGACAATTCGTGTGTCTGTGCCATCACAGCACTACGGTACTATCCAAACTCGCAGCCTGTGCTGATCCCGCCCCAAGGACACACACCACCACAGGCACAATTGCGGACACGCGTTGCTATTTGGAACTAGGTGTTTCAGCAGCAGAACGCTGCAGACACAATTGTCGGATTGTTGAAAGTCAAACCAACTTTGGGGCTCAGGTTGCACGAGATTGTGTTTGGTCCAGCAGTGAACTTAGTTGGATGGGTGCAGGTCACAAGTACAGGCAGTGGGATCACTGCCGAGTTGACTGCAAAATTCATTTGCTTGTTCTGTATTTGGCAACAACAGGTTGGTCAAGCCCTCTGCAAAACTGAACTCAGCTGAAGGCAAATTTGCTTTGGTTTTGTGTACGAAAGGGCACTTTGGACGGGTGCATCATGACCAAAAAAGTAAACTCTTCTGGGGGCGCGACCGCTACAACAGCAGGAAGAAAGATTGCAGTAATGAGAATCCAGTTTTGGGTGTGTGAAGAAAGAGGACTCGTCTGAGAAATTGACTCTTTGTCGTTGTCTTCGTGTCGCGTCGCGTTGCGTCGAAATGGTGGTGGTTAGATTTGGATTGTCAGAAGCCGACGCCCCTCGAGCGGTTGTAGCCCCACTTTCGACTGCTAAAGCAACCGGAACGGGGACATCACCATGTGCTCTTTTAAAGATGTCATTGAGGGATCTATTGGGCCGATTCTGCAGATCATCGTCTGTGGTTCATCGTGATGAATGCATCCGATGATGCCGGCCAATGTGTTGTGCAGGCTTGGTATGGGTAGCTGTGGTAAATACAGGGGTATTCTTGGTTATTAGACTGCTCTGAATATTTCTTTCAAGCATTTGTTTTACCGCATCTCCTGTTTTTCAAGTTCTGACGTCATACTAGTGAAAGGCATAATTCTCCCGGAATCTCGCATTCAAAGGTGATCCAGTTAGCGGAACGACAGCATTGCTGCGTCGTCGAATGGGATCAACAAAGTCAGGTTTTCTTGCAAAGGCCCCACTTAACCAAGCTTCTCGCAAAAACCTCATTTTGAAATTTCAGGATAAGAGACTTTCCCATCCTTCCCTTGCCTGGTCCGGGTATACGTAATACGACTCTGGAACGATGAATGGGGGCTAAAATAGCACTTTGACATACCGCAAGACAGCAGCAATCGGTGTGGGAGAGTCGTGCTCACAAATTCGACTAGGCAACAAGTCGTCTTCGGACTACCATAAAACTCGAAACCATTTGCATCAAATACCGAAAGAGTGCATTCCGTCATGAAACGCAGCAAGATGGCGAAGGAAGAGCCAACAGCGGAGGCCCACAAGGAAGACAGTAGCAGCAACAAATCCGGAACGACGAACAAGAAGGCGGCTGCCAATGCTGAGGAAGTCCCTCATTTGAAGGAGGAAGACCCAATTCGCCGTCGCCTTTGCGGTACCAACCTGAATCTGTGGCTTTGGAGTAAACAGGAGGAGGCAAAACTTGAACATGCAGGCTCTCGCTTGTTGGAGCTAATGGCAAAGTCCGCAGACCAGGTGGAAACAGTTGATGTTGGTGCTGACTTGTGGACCCATTTGCCGGCGGAAGATGCCACGAAGGTATTGGAAGCCGTCGCTGAACTTCCAAAGTTGAAATGGGTCCGGTTTTCCTTGCTAGGTGCGTCTTCGCAGTCAACAGAAACACCCGAAAGGGCTTCTCTTCCCATCAAGGTATTGGCACGTATTGCTTCCCACGCAACGGAACTCGAGCATCTTATATTGGAGGACGTTGTGCTCGATGGGACTGCAGCAGATTGGAGGGACTTCATTGACGGCCTCCAATCGCTTGCCGTCATGGCTCATCTTCGTCTAGAGAAGTACTCTTTCACTGACAACTCCATTGACCTTGGAGACTTGGTCACGGCTCTATCATCACTTCCCAATTTCACCACGTTAGAGGTATTTGCCCCTGAACCTCCGCCCTCGTTCAAGTCCCAGGGTTATCACCTCCCCGTAATGGCTCTGGAATGCCTTGTTCGTGCCAGCAAGTCGGTGCAAGTAGTGCGGCTGAGCGGTTTGGACGTTAGAGATGAGCACTTGAGCAAGTTGGTCGGGCCACTCTCGGACAAGAACCATACCCTCAAGGAACTCTTGATTTGGAGGTCTCAGATCACAGAAGGAGGCGCAGGCTCTCTTGCTGATGCCCTGAAGACTAATGTATCTCTCTTAAAACTGAATCTCAACGATAATGACAAGATGGGTTCTCGCGGATGCCAGACTCTCTTTGAGGCTGTCTCTGGAAGCAACCTTGAGGAACTGTGTGTGGGTTATTGCCACCACATGGACACTGAGTGCAGACAAGCTTTGTTGAGTCTTGTTGCCAGCAACAACTGTTCCCTCAACCGCAAGCTGAAGAGACTGGAGACTTGTTTCTCGTGGCCTTTGGAAACGACTGTGCAGTATGTCGCGGAGTTCGGAGACAAGTTGGTCCACTCTTTGCGGGACCCTGATCAGGTCCTGCTGTTTCTCCGCCTTTATTGTGACCAGCGCCATGGAGATGATACCAAAGAACTCCATTGGGGAAGTTTTTGGGAGAAACGTCCAATTGAAGACGATGCTGACGAAAAGGAGGAATAAATTGATACTGCAACGGAGAAAGTTCACACGCAATGGAAGAAGGACCACGAAATGCAGCCCTGTGATTAGGAACGTTGTTCATAACTTCCTATAACATCTACTGATAACTGTGCAACCTACCCTCTTCCAAAAGGAATTGTGTGCGTGTAGTGTCACACCCAACCATGCCGTTGAGAGCCCCGACTCTGGAATGACAATGAGGTAGGTGAATTGTCATACCGAGCTTTTCCCTATGGATACCAGTAGTGCTAGGCAAAAGATGACGCCGTCCACACAAGTATTGATTCAATGCAGGTGCGCCCATTGCTGTTGCCATGCATTGGGCTCTGCTATCCATGGGTGTATGGATCCTTCGCGAGGATCATTTAGTCTTGCGGGTGCCTACACCCGGACTGAGTACTGCACCCATGCCAAGGTCAATCTCCCAGCCAAACACCTCGTCCCATACCGTACCGACATGAGCACCAGCGCCAACTCCACACGTACCGGTAGAGATCATTTATTTGGACGCAGCCCAAGCAACCGCATCGTGGAGAACGTGCCAAATGGTACAGGCAGCTTCGATTTTATTGATTCAAACGCGCGCCACACTTTTCAGTACACTTCTACACGAGCTCTTGTAGAAATGTACCAGAAATGCCGGCACGCGTTTGAATCAATAAAATCGAAGCTGCTCGTACTGGTATGCTGTGAAAACATGTCAACTGTGACTGGACTAACCAGCACACTCTCAGGAGTTCTCTTTCGTATTGAAGTTCAAGTGTGTGTTTATGTCTTTTTTGCGCGTGCGCGGATACATCAATGAAAAGCTAACTCCCGAGATGAAACTGGGACTGGATTCACAAGATCCGCGGATGCTTGCCTTCGCCTCCCTCACCTCACAAAAAGCAAAAACACAAACACAAAACAAAAACAATCTTCAACATGAAATCTTCTGGAATTGTCTCTCTTATGCTATTATCATGGCTTTCCATGCCTGTTGTGCTGGCCTACAACCGCCAGCAAGTGCAAAATGATCTCAACAGAGAAAGGTCAAAATGGGAGAGTATGGGAATCAGTGATTATGATTACAAGCATCAAGTAATAAGTGATACCTCTGGTGCTGCCTATCCATTTTCAACTCAAGTTCGTAATGGGGGTGTCATCTCCTATGTGGATGGCAACAACCAACCAATTACTTGGCTCAAGCCAGTCACCATGGGGAGCTGGTTCAGTTTCATACAGACACACCTGGATAGTGGAGCACAAAGCATTCAGGTTATATATGACCCAACAAGGGGATTTCCAGTCTCCATTGACATGATCCAGACTGGTGGACAGGTGATGAACATTCGCATCTTTGACTTTGCCTACTACCACAACAACTACAATCCCGCAGTGGTTCAAGCAAACCTTGACAGGGAAAGAGCCAAATGGCAGAGCCAGGCTATCTCTAACTATGACTACATGCTTGAGACACTGAGTGACAACACTGGCTCAGTCTATCCCTTTACAACTCAAGTGAGAGGTGGATCTGTTGTTTCCTACGTTGATGGAAACAACCAACAGATCACATGGCTCAAACCACAAACGCTGGACGTCTACTTCACCCAAATTCAAAACTACTTGAACATGGGTGCATCTTACATTGAAGCTGAGTATGACTCGAAGAGAGGTTTTCCTACCCGTGTCTATATTATCATGAACGGTGCAGAAGCTTTCCACGCAAGAGTCATTCACTTTCACTATTATGTCCGAAGACTCCGTGGCAGTGATTCTCAGTAATTCTGTAACCCGAAAGGCGAAGGCAAGTTCTTGTGGCTGCTGTGGAGGCATCCATTGTCTGTGACGCCATGTCTTGAGTTAAAGCGTCTTGAGTTAAACTAGAAGCTTAATTTTAAAAGCATGTGAATGGAGTTAGGGCGTTCCATTTAGACGCAAGGGCACCCAATCGTTGCAACCGCTCGGCTGAGGAAGATCCGGAAACGACCGCATGCTTCAACGAGGCATCCGAACCGCCCAAAAGGGAATCCGAGCTGATATTTGCTTCTAGCTATATTATTTGGTTTGGTTACGACCGTCGCAGCGGTGACCTCGTCGGTCTACTTCAAGCAAGAGCAAAAACGCTGAAGGTTGTTGCTCCTCTATTATTGGATCTCCCTACACATTGCTTGAAGATGCGCCACGAGGCTGGGAGCGTTTCCAATCCCACACGTTTCACCAATCAAGATGTCCTCGCCCTTTTCCGAAGTACCGGTACTTTTTGCCTTGACGATATCTTTTGGTCACATTCCAAAGTACCTTGTTTTGCCTTAATGAAAGAAGCAAATCGAAAATGAAGAAGACTTCCAGCAGCCCGAATGCAGAGCCATCTGCAAAACTGAACCACGAAGCCCTGATGGGGCGCCCTTTGGACGAGAGTTGGGACGTGAACCCTCCCGAGTTGCTGCATGAGCACAGGGAGGCCAACGGCTCCATCATTCGCACTCGGTTTCCGCCAGAACCCAACGGTTACCTCCACATTGGCCATGCGAAGGCCATGAACATGAACTTTGCCCTGGCTTTTGAGAAACTAGGGGTGGACGCGAGGAATCGGCGCACCATTTTCCGATGCGACGATACCAACCCTGATGCGGAATCCAAGGAATACAATACATGGAATCCCTGCGTAAAGACCTTGATTGGTTGGGATGGAAACCTAAACGAATCACACATAGTTCCGATAACTTTGAAGTCCTCTACGAGCTTGCCATCAAGCTGATCAAGAAGGGTCTTGCCTATTGCTGTGACATGACAAAAGAGGAAATTGTGGCTCAGAGGGAATTAGCCAGGAAGCGAGCTGCATCCAAGAACCCCGACCTCGAGTATCCCATCCTATCTCACGACATTCTACCTGGCCGGAATAGAGACACTTCGGTCGAGAGGAACTGCGACGAGGTCAAGATGGATGGAGACAATGTTGTCGAGTTGGTCTGTCGGTTGTGTTGTTGGAAGGACAAGGATGGACCCAAACCGAAGAGCTTCATTACGTGGGTACCCTCTGATTCCCTGCCTGCAGACATCCGTGTCTATGATCACTTGTTTACCACAGTCGAGCCATCATCATCTGACGATTGGGTGGACGAAATCAACAATGAGAGCGAGGTGATTTATTCAAAAGCGCTTGTGGATCCGAGCGTGGCTGATGTCGTCGACTGCCGCACGAGCGATCGACAGCTGGAGCTCCAACGTTGGATTCCAGTTTGAACGGATTGGATACTTCGCCGTAGACCCCGAAACAACGTTTGACCCCCGAAGCCGCAATGGAAATCTTGTTTTCAATCGCACCGTGTCCTTGCCTGGCGAAGGTGCCATGAACAAGGAAAAACGATCCAAAAAGGAGGAAGGGGCGATGGCCGCACATCGTGCAAAGCAGCTTGCCGATCTCGCCAGCAAAGATGCGAGGAAGAAGATTGCTCCCGTGGACTTGTTTCGCTTGGCAGCCGAATACGAAGGGCTTTATTCCAAGTATGATGTGGTGACTGGAGTTCCCACCCACGATGCTGACGGCAAGGAGCTTTCCAAAAACGCGAGAAAGGCTCTTGCCAAGAAACAGGCGAAACACGCGAGTATAATAGAGTTTACGAAGGCAATCGAGACTAATGCATGTAGCTTGTAGCGTAATTGTTTATGAAGAAAATGGCTTATGAAGAAAATGAGTGTGAGTGTGACGTTGTCAGGTACCGGTAGGAACGTCTGTGAGTTGCTGCATTGTGGGGCCCTGTAGCTAGCATGCTACCGATGCACGCTCCCAAAAGATGTCTGAGGAATGTTCAATTGCTGCCTAGCCCGCAACGAACACTTCCTCCCCGATCTAGCAACCACTCTGTTGTTAGGACTGCGGCAGTGTGCCTTGTCGCTTGAAGGCCATCAAACTCAAGTACCGATACTATCGTAGTACGGTGATACGTTTGCCTCTTTCAAATAGAAGCGTAAACAAGACAAATAATACTTTCGTGGTGCGTTGTCGTCATCTCCCTGAAGCCTCTGAACGCTTGTGGTGACGAAGATGCTGGTGGTGGATGTGACTGTGGCAGGCCAAGTTTCCAACATAAAGCCCAGCATCAATGGCTCGATTGATCAGCCTGATGAAAGGGCAATTGGATAGGCTGGCAGATGAAAACTCGAGCTCCCGAGCCAACGCTTTGGACTCTTTGACTTCTTCTTGTACCCCCTTGACAAATTCGTCATGGTGGCCGCTGTTGTTGGCAGCGGTATTGTCAAAGTCCAAATTGTAGTGTCTTAAGGATGAAGATGACTGCAACGCCCGAGCAATCCGGAGCGTCCATGCTTCGTGTTGTGGGACGGTTTCCAACAATAGATCCAACTTTTGCAGCGTAGTGTTGTGTTGCAATAGATGAACCATGGCGAAAGAGCCCGCATCTGAGGATAGGTTACAAGAGAGCCGTAGAGTGTGCAAGATTTTGTTGTCCATAACTGCCTCTGACAATGCCACAATGTGTCGATCTTCTAGCCCCACCTTGTCTAGCCGCAGTACCTGAAGACTGGGCGACCGTCCCAGAAATCCCACTGTCTCTGCCGACAGGGAACCTAGGCCCCTTGGTTTGTCGGCAATCAGCGTAACATCGACAATACAAGGACAGGTTGCCAATGCCTTGACAACGGGTTCCAATGCTTTTTGTCGAGTACTGGCCACCAATCTGCTGGGGAGTCGGCATCCTTCCAGTGAGAATGCCTGCAAATACGCCTGACCTTCCAGGGCCAGGGCCAATTGACGGAAATCTTCTAGATTTCCCACCAATCGGAGGCGACATAGTTCTACACAGACCATGCGCTTGGCTTTTCGTAGAATGGTAATCAAGGTCGCAACTGGAAATGAGTAGTTCACATAGTAACACTGTGTTGTGGATGTCGACGTCGATGAGTCGTGATGAAATCTAGTGCCAGCACGCACCAACGTCAATTTTCGACAGTCTTCCAGGTTCTCGATTTGATGAAGCAATAGCGCAGCATTGGTGTTGGAAGCTGTCGACAAGTCAAGGGAAGGCTCCAGGAAAGGATCCAAGTTGAATGACGTCATACTTCGAAACGAAATGTCCTGAAAGCTTGGCTTTGACTCGGATGATGCGAAATCATGTCGTTGCTGCTGCTTAATAATAAGCTGTCGAGCACGAACGCCTCCAACATCGTCCAAGCTACCACTGGATCGGAGCTTGAGCTCGCACTCATCGAGGTCTTCATCATAGTGGATCACGACCATTGCTTTTTTGTTTGCTTGACTTGACAACCCGAATAATGAGAACAGCCAGGTCGGAGCTAAGCTGTCTGAATGGTTTGATGAAATCCCATTAATGGATGTGCGCTTTGTGTTGATGAGCTATCCTGTACAGGTGCATGACTTTGGGTTTGTTGTATGTTCTACGCGGACAGGACAAGATGCTGCTATCTAAAATCAAAGTAAGTTACACAACGTAAACCCATGCGGAAGGGCACCGGCGAAGGATTCCGATTACGAAGAGCAAAACCCAGAAGTGAGAAGAGGACGGATACCGGGACTTCAACAACATACAGTATTATTGAGAGAAGTCATGGCGTTGTTCCAAACCACTCACAAAATAGATGGCAACAGTTGCAGAAGCCACTCACGCGGATCCAAGCTGCACGACCGTTGTTTTGAGTGAAGACCTATGCCGAGTGCTCATTTTTCGGCCAGTGCACCGGGCGTCTGAAGTCCCAGTTGGCAGGCTTGCCGCGTGGGACACCCAAGTCTTTTTGCGCTAAGAGCACCAACGTTTCAAGCGATGAAGGGATGAAGGGGTGCGCCGTCAAACAAGCTCATGAGAATGATGGAACGCTGATGCAGAGAAGTGTTTCGAACCTCTACTGTGCTTGCTGGTGGTAGCTGGCGCTTTTAATAAAACAGGGCCAACGGTAATACTGTACGTGTAAGAGTTGCCATCTCGCGGGAACCTCATTAGAAGAAAGGTCAACAAGTTCTTCATCGCGCCGCTCGACTCTAGCTAGCTACTACTAGCTAGCCAGGGAATTGGAGTTGTTGAAGCCAATACGAGTGAAAAGAGACTGAGCAGCTCGAACGACAAAGCTGACAATAATGTTTTCAGCCATCCTCCAGGCATTGTACTGTACCGTACAAAAGTTTGCCTCTTTCGACTTTCTTCGAAAGCTAGCTAGCCAGCTAGCTAATAGCTACCAGGTACAGTATTTAGGACCACAGCGCCACACCCTCTCAGTGGTGAGCAGACTTGACTGCACAACATGGAAAGAAACACCTGGGCCTTCCCTCTTCAATGGGCGGGTGGACTGCAAGCACTACTACTTGCAAGAATCCGTCAAAAGATTTAGAGAATTGTTTAGCAACTACATGTAGACTTGCCACTAGCTAGCTAGAGATGCTAGCTAGAACTAGGTACCATCTTTTGGAAGTTTATTCTGGTGGCGACAACAACCCAATCTGCAACCGTAACCACCGAAAATCTATTTTGCTTCTTGGGTTACAGGTCAGGTACAGGAGTTACAGGAAAATTACATGTGGCACACATGTACATGTACATGTACCCGCAATCCGCAATTAGATCTACATGTACGCACGGTTGCTAGCCAGCCCTCCGAATGCAGCAAGGCAAGCTCTTCGAATGCAGCAAGGCTGCAGAAAGAGGCCTTCAAAACACAAAGAAGAAGCCAAAGGATTCCCGACTCCCGACTCCATACATCGTACTATTAAAATAGAACCCGGAACGAGTACACCAGAGCAGTCTTTAGTCTTTAGAGAAATTAGAAAAGAGACAAAGGAATGTCTCAGCTACGTGTAATCCTACATACTCCGAGTAGGATGAAGCGTCTGGCTTCTGCACGGTACCGTACACGGTAGCGTTACGCCGTACAGCTGTACACCGTACATCGTTGAAGTTTCTGCGATCAGAAAAGAAGCTCTCACAGGCAAAAAGAAAGCAAGCTTTCACAGGGGAATAAGCGAATAAGCCTTTTATCAGTAGGTCATACCATCCATTATGGCATTCTTCATCAATGAAAAAGAGAAACAGAACTGTCTCAGATACGTGTTATCGTAGCTAAGCTTCCCTACGAGTAATACGGTGGACTCAAGCATTCAAGCCTTTTACCAGTACCGTTTTACTGAATGAGACATAAGGGAAAAGAAATAATCCAAAAGTGACAGTAGTATTTGACACTAATTCATTGTCTTTACATTCAATTGCAGCTGTTCGATTGATATTTATTTGAATCCTTGTTGATTCGATTCGAGGTAAAAACAGCCTTCTTATGTCTATTACTAACGGGCAGTACCGGTGTAGCACTCGCGTCGGTATCCCTATTTTGCTTTTTAAAAAGAACTTACAGTTTTCTATTTTGTTGAAAAACACTTTTCTTCCTAACCAAAAACAAGCTGGGCCAATACAAAAAAGGCATCAAATGCATTTTTAAAGAAATCGTAAACCAGAAACGAACATTTGGTAACTGTGACTCAGTTAATCAACAAAGATCACGTACAAATGTACCAGAAAGGCAAGGCATCAGTTTGCAACGGTACCGGTACTAGTACCCTGGTACAGAACTACGTTCACTCGCATGTGCGTCTCGAGGCAGTGAGTGGTCATCAATCATTCCCCGAAATTCCCTCTTCAGTGGTTAAACCGCCAAAGGCGACCCAGCATTTCGAGTGATTAAGGGACATTGCCCCTGATACCAGCGAAACTATAACACCATCACACAGACATCATCAGCTCATCTCCAAACCAGCTCATGCATGCATCACCATCTCCATCCACCAACAGCCGCCTTTCAAGCGTCGATTGAAAGTCAAGCTTGTGCTAGTATTCGTGAAGCACTAATAGCCGCCTTCCCTTTTCTTGTAGCCTGTGTTGTTTTCTCCTCATTTCCGCTCTTGTGCGAGCTGTCACAACAAACAAACAAACATCAGCTGCAAGGCAAGCAACATGAATCCTTCTGACACTATTAGTACCCCCCCTGAGCAGACCTCATCATGCACTGATGCTGCGGAGCTCATTGCCACTCCCAATCGGTTTGATATTCTCTGTGGACAGTCCAAGCAATGTTTTGAGTGGGAGGGCTCCCGCCGATACCGTCTGGTGATTGATTCTTACTCCAGCAAGTATGCGGCTGCTGGAAGCCGTCTGGAGAAGATGGCAGTGACCATGGAGATCTACGATCTGCTACAAAAGTCCAAGTCTCGCTTTTTACGATACAAGGAGGCACAGGCAGCCTGGGAGGAAATCCCATTTCTCGGGGTCCGAGATAAAATTGGTCATGCCCTTCGATTTGCCAATCGGGCAACGAAACGCCGCCCCAAGAAGGCAGGAGAAAATCAGGTAAAAGGGTCTGCCGCCAAAAAATCAACTGACAGTGGTGTGGCAGCAGCGTCTGCGCCCACACCCGCGCCTGTGCTTTCTTCGTCATCATCATCCGATCGAAACCCCTTTAGCGCTCAGCAGCAGCAGACCTGTTTGGGCGGCATGATGACAATGATGGATTTTCAGAGACAGGCTCACGTCAGGTCGCAAAAGAATCAGGTGAAAGCTGCACGGGCTTTGCACAAGCAAGTTTCGGCGGCAATTGCAGGTAGGCCGGATGCTACTGTGCTGCCCTGTGCCGTTGGCATCCCTCCTCTTCCTAATGTACTTCTGTCTCAAGCGAGAAATCTTGCTGCCAGACTCCCCGCTAACAGACAAGCCAAGCAGGCGAAACTCAAGGAGGCGACAGTGACGCAGGTCTCTTCGACCGTTTCAGCGGTAGCAGCTATTCCCCAAGCAGCAGAACCAAAGCAGGAACGAACCACTGTGATCAAGCCCAAACCACGAACCCCCAAGAATTTGGCCTTTGCTGCGTCTCTTCGGGCCCTTCAGCAGCAGCAGCAGAAGAAGGCGGCTGCCATCAACGTTGCGGCTCAAGACAAGTCCCTGAAGACTCCCAACGAGGCGAATGTTGCCACAAACAACAGCACGAAGGCGTCAGAGACGGGACTTTTGCGACCTACTCCACCCCTCCCCACTGGAATCTCGATGGAGAACCGAAGAGATAATCTGGAAGCTGCCAAGAACCAGTTGATTCAAGCATTTCACAAGAGCGCCAAGGAACCCACCGATGCTTTACCGTTGGGTGATGTTCAAGAAGACGGTGCCGCACAACCTGCGCCCACGAAAAAGAGAAAGAGGTGTCCCTGCGACGTGTCTCCCCCTCTTCCTACTAACATCATTATTGGCCATTCCGGTGCAGATGAAATGGTGACGGACAAGACGGCCCCTTCTCCTCGAAAAAGGTGCTGTACCAGTCCAGCCCCCTCGTCTTCGTCCGTATCCGGGGCGGAGCCATGGTCCATCTTGCAAGAATCTTTGGAAGACTGGGAATCCGATCATTCGTCTTTTGACGATCACGAGGTAACAATGGAGTTGGTGCCGAATGACCCGCACACCATGGGCGTCGTGGCTTTGCAGTAACACCGGAACCTAATTAGTTTAATTTTTTGTTACGCTACTACTGGTACGAGCCCGTGGTCGTGTCGTTTCCTCCTTTCGTACCTTTTCAAAGTCGTATTCGATACTGAAAACTCGTACCGACGGACCGAGCAAAACAGAACTTTGCATCTCGAACTCTGCTGAAGCTGGGTGCTCGCGTGGAGACTTGCTCGATGCCATAGCTGGTCGTTGGCTGCTGGATTTGATTCATTCAACCATTCCATGGCAAGTGGTGGTGTCGGTGAGCAGGCAGAGTGCGGCACTGGCTAACCTTGCACCGATAAAGGCATCCCGAGGTTTCTACCCTGCACTCTGGTACCAGGTATGTACAAGGTGGTACCACGTTTTCGTCTCTTTACCATCGTGGAATTCGATTGACTCGACTCATTCGACTCATTCGATTCGAAACTCCCAAAACGAAGCAATTCCCCAAGTTCCTTGAAAGAGATCAGATGAACATACATGACTTCCCTGTCCTGAGATGAATGCTTGAGGCGAGTCCCGAATCAATGTTCTACTTGAACCTACGCCACCATTATTTTGAAGTTTCCTTTTCTTTTCTGTCCAGGGACTGTAATTTCGGGAGTAAAGGGAATTACTTGAGGTCTCAAGAAGAGCCTGTGTCTTTGACATGGCGTACCGGTAGCTGGCTACCTGTAAGTAACTACCGTACGGTACCTACATATTTACTGTAGATGTCGATTGGACTACTATTTCTAGAGTAGGAGTACACTGTAATAAGCTACTGGAGTAAGGTTTACTTCAAATTACTTGAGAGGAAACAATCAGAAATCAGAGTACCGGAGGTAGTGATTTTTACGTAGATCTGGCATTCCGTTCGGATTCATGACAGTCGAAAGATTTAATAACTACTTCAGATCTCTCTCTGATTGGTGGGTTATATTGTGAATTGCGAGAGAAAATCAAGGTTTCCAAATGTGACATAGAACTGGAGAGGACGACTGCATCTCTGTGCTCCCTGGAATTCGAAATGCCACCCCAATCCAGCAAGCAGTGCACATGTGGAGCTACAAGTGGCGATTGGCGTCCACACCTTTACTGTAAGAGGCAAGCGGCGGAGCAAATACATGTACCAAAAGGGCAAAAGGGCTTTCGAGACGACCTCGGTTTCCAATTCCAGTACCACTAGTAGTAGTATCGGTACTGCAAGCAGCTACCCTTTTACATCTTCGTTTCCAGTTGAGTTCCAAAGCGAGCAAGAACGCTTGAACCACTTTGCTACTTCCTTCGCAAAAGACCGAACAGCGACAACTGGCCACTAGCTAGATAATCCTCGAGCTAGCTTGCTAGCTTGGTCAGTGCTTCCAACATGGCCTCGTCGATTGGGACTAGCAGTGGGATCCCCTCTATCATCAAGAATCCCGCTCGGAATGACATTCTCTGTGGAAAGGGAAAGGAATGTAATGCAGCAGAGGGATCGCAGCGGTACCGTCTGATCATCGACTCCTTCCGTCGCAAGTATTCTGCTGCAGCAACGAGAACGGGTAAGATGGAAGTAACCATGGAGATCTATCGTCTATTGGTAAAGACCAAATCTCGCTTCTTGCGGTACAATGAGGCCGAGCAGGGATGGGCGGAAATCCCATTTCTTCAGGCCCGCGATAAAATTGGCCACGCCCTGAGATTTGCCAATCGGTCCAACAGGAGGACTCCAGAGTTTAAGGGAGCATTAGAAGCCCTTGGCTTGACCGGCTCCCTTTCTGATCAAGATGCCCCCAGCAGTTGTGGTGATGTTGCTCCCAGCAGCAGTACCACAAGTCCTGTTGCCTCAGCTGATGGCGCACTATCCAGTTGTAGTGGCCCCCAGCAGATGCCAAAATGTGAACCGCAAGGTCCACTGAGAAAGAAAATCAAGAGAGATGCCTCTGAAGATTTGTATGTTGTGGTTAAGGGTGCTGATAAAACCCAAAAGAATGAACCAGTTCCTTCCTGCTCCCCCGAAGACACCCACTCCAAGCAGATCAAACCAGACGAGACTATGATAAAACGGAAAAGAATGGTCACAGGTTTGATGAGTCCTTCGTTTGACCTGAGTTCGATTCTTGGTGGGCGCACAAAAGAACCCGGTGAACAGCAAGCGCCATCGTCAAGCGCCGTCAAGCAACCGAAGGGTGGAGGTTCTGTGTCAGTACCTTCGGAGATGATGCCCTTTTTAGATCCTACATCCAAGATATCTGCTTCTCTTTACGAGGGTATCAAGACCCAAGAACGTGCAACTGGAGGGAGTTTGCCTCATGCTAATTCCTGCCTGGCTTCCGCTGTTCAGGCCGGGAATTCAACGCCTCAAACGAACACGTATATGGAGTGGATGATGTCTACGCCCAAGTTTTCCGGCCCCTTTGCCCTTTTTGACAACTCCAGCCACGAATCTGGGCTTCAGTCGTTGAGCACACGTCATCTCGCGAGCACACACCCTACTCTGGGTCTGAAGAAGCTTCCTGTTGATACTCCAGATCCGTCAAGTGTGGTTCGCACCATGCAAACAAGTTGCGAGAGTGCTTCGAAAGATCCTTGTCAAATGGTTGATCAGCATTGTGGGCGCCTATCCAACCCATTCTCTCGTGGAGACTTTCAAGGAAATTGGGGAGCCACTAGCACTGCGACGTTTACATCCACCGCTGGTTCGGACGACTGGAAGAAACTAGCAGGGCCTCCTGCTTTTGACTTACCACAAGGAAACCCGTCGACGTTTGCATCTACCGCCGGTTCGGACGACTGGAAGAAACTAGCAGGGCCTCCTGCTTTTGACATACCAAAAGGTAGCACGTCGACGACGACTTCCTCTGCGATACCTGTCGACTGGAAGAATGATGGGCCCCCAACTTTCGATGCACAGAATGGGAGCACAGCGAGTGTGTGCTCGACGAGTTCCAAAGACTGGAAGAACCTGGAAGGGCCTCCAGAAGTTGACGTTCAGCTAGGTACGTCGTTCGTACCATCGGATACGGTCACTTATAGTGCTCCGTTTGGCATGCAGTCGTTTGAGTTTGAAGCCCAATCTTTACTGATGCGGGACACTTTAGGACAAAAACTGTGCAACAAGGGTCCTAATCGCAAGACGTGCAACATGAAGAAAGCCGAAGAACGTCCGGCAGCTGCAAACAGAGTGACCGCGCCACTTCCAAACCGTCTCAAGAAATGCCCCAAGGTGCATTCTTACGCAGACCATGAAGAGGAATCAACGGGTGGAGTATCGTCCTACGACGATTTATTGAGTGAATACTTGGTAGCACGGAACGCCACATCAAGTCTCAAGGACAGGGACGACAGCAATTGGAAGGCACCTGATAAGCAAACGATAGTGGCGCCTCCGAGCAACTACATAGGACCGCCTCCAGTTCGGTCGTTGATGCTGCGGAAGCCAAGTCGTGCCGTTGTGGATCGATTACCATCACCAACTACGAAGCCGAACGACTTGGCATTAATTCATGAAGCTGCCAGGGACATTGATGAGTGGTCAGATCGTACTTCTCCACCCGCGTCACCGTGCCGGTAGGCATTGGGTTGCAAACTGCAAACCACACATTGCTGGTTCTCGCGACGGCTTCTTTGCGGACCTTCCCTCGAGATGATCGGTTGGAGCTCCGCTTCTCCACCGGGTACTGTTCTGCTTGCATAGCCCTTGCTGAAGCAGGCACTCACGAGACAACGCAATGGCTCGCAGGCTGTTCTCATGCAAAGCCTCCACCGCACAACCAGAAACTCTGCACCTCCACCGGTACGTCCGCACCTCGGCGGCAGAAACTCTGCACCTCCACCGGTACGTCCGCACCTCGGCGGCAGAAACTATGCACCTCTACCGGTACCGTACGGTCCGCACCTCGGCGTAAAAACTCTGCACCTCTACTGTGCGCGCCTCGGTGGCAGATACTCAGTAAACCACATCTCTTATCCTTCCGCCTCAAACCATGTGTCGGCGCTGACGTTGACCACAAGATCCGTGCATGCCGTCGCGTGCATTTGATTTTGGACACGAGACGAAGAGTGTACCGCTTTTGCGCAAAGAAGCGAGGCAGTGGCAAAGATGTTTGTCTGCGTCGGAATTGAAAGTTGATGTCTATCATGTGTCGTTGGCACCGAGTGAAAGCGATCTGGCACAAGCAACCCGATGCCCCGGTTCTCGGCATCCACCAATGCACCACATCATCGCAGCGACGCGCGGCACTGGCATTACCACACCAGCGTCACCGCCGATGGCACTACCGTTAGCGCTCCCTCGGCTAAGCCTATAAACATTTCAGTTACCCAGCAATCTCACCCCGATAGTAACCCATTCTTCTAGTATCGTATGATTGATTTCTACTAGCTAGAGTTACAAGTTACAGCCCGATTGTTTGCTTGATTACGCCGTGTACGTGACCAACAATTGTCGTGGCTTATCGCTATTGCTGACAATAGCATCTCGATAGGGCAATCGTCCGTGTTGCACCCGTCGATTGTCGAGCACCAACCAATCCCCCGGTTGCAATTTCAATGCTGTGGTTTCGTGCCATTTTTGTCGTTTCAAGTAGGCTTGCAAATCGAGTGGAAACGTAGATCCGTCGGCCATTGTGACGGGAAATCCGTAGTCAATGCGGTTGAACCAGACTGGATTTTCATTTTCATTCGTCGAGTGCTCATGATGATGATGATACCCGGGCAATAAATTGTGTGCCGTCAATGTTCCCTCTTGATCAAACGTCACGTTGGTAATGCCATGGTGTTTGCGAAAGTACTCTTTTGCTTTTTGTGTGGAATTGGTGTGACATCGTTCTTGCCAACTCATTTCGGTGGGATGTCGTTCTTCCTTTGGCACCGACAGTAACTTTGTTGCATCCGGATAGGATCGTGTAAATGTCAGGGCACCACCGTGACGTGCATGCTGTTGTTCTAACAATTGCCACGCTTCAGAAGGCACTTGCATGTCGACATTGCGTCGGAGGAGGGATTCTCCTCCGTGTGCCGCCGTGTGAAGGGCATAAAAGAATATTTTTTCCGAGGGGCGTGGATTACAGGAATGTTCATTGTGTGGTCCAATGGTAATGGCAGGGACATCGGTATCGACCCGATCGACTTGTCCGTAGAGCCGTTGTCGTTTGCGATTGTAGCAACTGAGATGATCATTCATAATGTTCCAATTGTTGTCATTGTTGTTGTTGTTGGATGACAATACAACATGCTCCCAAAAAGTGGCAAAATCCGATGAATTGTGGATTGTTTGGTGGAGATTTCGAAAGAGCATGGCGCCACTGCCTTGATGCAAATGTTGATCAATCAAATGGCGCGCTTGTTGTCCCATGGTTCTCAGTGATGATGATTGCTGCTGTTTTGTAAGGTCAAACACTTGGAGATAATCAGGCAGATCCAATTGTTTGGGTGATTCTGGTGTGGGCCATGATGAGGATGATGGGGAGCTTTGGTATGGTGCAATGTTAAAATCATTGATCCACTCGTCTTGAAACGGAATGGGAGAAATTCCTTCCAAAGCATTTGGGTTGTATTGAAACAGAGAATTTCCAGAACTCCCAGAATCTTTCTTCTTGTGATTCTTGCTGATTGTGGAAATAATCTCCAGAGAAAACTGGGGAGTATTAGTAAAGTTTTGATTTTGATTGTGGTGATACAGTCCTGCTGGTGGTGGTGTGGCTGATGCAGTATTATTGTTGTTCAGCTGATGTTGATAAGCCTGATTATCATCTTGAAGGTTGGAAAAATCCAAAGCTGTCAAGACAAAGAGCAGCAAAATTGACTGTACTGCTTTGGCCGAGGAGAGACCAGTGGCTGCCATTAGCATTCCACCGGCTGACTGCAACACTTGAGAAACACCACCTGATGCTTCCCCATGGCCAAACAGGCTGGACATCATTGCGTGTACTGGTACTTGTTGCGGTTGAGACATTGACATTGATTCTAATTTTTTTATTATGGTGCTGATGTGAAAATGTATATTTTGTGCGAGTCTGGGATTTGGTGGTTTGGATTGGATTGGTGATACAGGTTGTACCACCCAACAAAAGATTGCTCTGGCTCAATAGTATAGATACTGTTCTGCCAGTCGACGCAGGATCGACAATGCTCAGGACGAAATTGTGCAAGCTATTGGTGACCACTCAACCCTCATCATTCTCAAGCGATCAAGAGGTGTCATGTTGAGCTCATGTTCAGTGGTGCCGCGATTGAAGATCTTGTCCTGAGCTGCTTTGTAAACAGAATTTGAACAGTAGTTGAGGTAAATTTGGAAATACATAAACTTGATTTTACCAGACCTACCTTTACAAATCCTTGAGAACTTCGAAGAAAGTGTGACCGTCCAAAATTTACTGGTATGTTTCTAGACTAGCTACTATAATAGAGTGATACGGTAGCTTCTTGCTAGCCGTGGACAGCATATTAATTTATTTTATTGAGCCTTTCCTGTACGATACTGCAACTCGGAAAAGCTCTGTACGGTACCGGTAGCCCCCCCCTTGCTGGCCCGGCTATATGGGACATGGTATAGTTGAGAAGCTACATCCATAGAATGCACTTCTAGCTAGTATGCCATCTAGCTAGTATGCCATTGTTCAATTGTTTCAGAACCGTTCATCGAATGCAACTCATTGTGGCTCATTATTTCCTATGCATATGCATATGCATGTACCGGTATTGTACCCCTCTCATGTCTTCTGTCAAAAAACTAGGTTGCTGGCAAGCAATGGACCTATCACTCCAAGGATCTTTATGCAATGCCAAACTAATTCTGCAAGACAGAGTCCAGCGGAGCTGAAACTTTGTTGCATCATGACTGCCCAACCACCAACATTGAAAAGGCAAGCATCCATCACAGATTTTGTAATCAGCAACCCAACCAACGGCTGTACAAACCTCAGAAAGTTGCCAAGGAACCCCAAAAGTTTCTTCGCAACATCAGACGTATTGGTACTCCAGTCATCAGGGTTGCTTGTTTCCGGTGGTTGAACCTTGTGCTGCTGCGGCCAAAACATGACCTTGACGGCAAGTATCAGACCGACCACTGTGTTCAACTCCTTAGATCGGCACACGGATTCTTGTAGCTGGAGACAAAAGGAACCCAAACCTTGTTGAAGGGTTGCCCAACCAACTGAATTGTTGATGTAGACAATGCTCACAGCTCTCAAAAAAATCAACTGAACAGACCATAGTAATACAGAAGACCAATGAAATCTGCCAAGAATCCTCAGCATGTGCTCCACAACCGGAGAAGTTCTCCTTGCTTGCAAGATGATTTGGCCGGATACGTTGCTTCCACCAGCCATCTTCTGCGTTCTGTTTGCATCATTTCCCTGGACTCCAATCCTCCAGTCGTCCTCCACCAATTGGTACATCTCCCATTCAGCAAAAGACTCCAACAGATGGTCTCGTCTAGCCTCAGCTTCTTCCTTTGTTGCACGGCGCCAGCCATTGGGGATCTTGTCAGTAGGATTATTCCGGTGAACAATCAACATGGCTGCCATTGAGTTGCACCAGTTTGTTGCGTTGATATCATCCTCATTGAGCCACTCCTCATGCTGTTCTTTGTACTGATCCCAACATTCTGAGGTCGCACCGAGCGGAGGAACTGGGGTTGTTTTGCAGGCAGCAGCTTGGTAGTAGTGATGATGGTGATATGGACCATTCCAGCTGTTCCCAATACTGACAAGCTGCACAAGGAAAAGTGTTCGAAGAGGGCTCATGGGACTATTACAAATCGTATTGAGTTGGCCTTTTGTGGAACCTTCAGTTTGGGCACTCCTTGGAGATGTTGATGAGGTTGCGTCGGGGACAAGTCTTCGCCACGTGGTAATGGATCATTTGCTTGCTTGAAACCAATGCGGGACTCTGTTTTGACTTTTCCAAGTTTTGAGGGGAAGACTGCACCCCAGCAAGCCGAAAGATCCTTTGCAATGCGAGATGCATCTCTTGCGGAATGAAAGCATCATGACTCGTAAAATTGAGCCAGAATTCAATTGTGCAATGTCAATGACGTCGATCAGGGAAGTTGCCCTATCTCGGGCCATGAAGAATGAGAGTGCGACTCTGGACTGGCTACGGTATAGCTGAAGTTCTACCAGTAAGGTGAAGTCTATTGCTGGCCAGCTACTACATGTACATACATTACTTGGCCAGGCAGATGTACGGTTCATTCAGTATCTAGCATGCTACATCGTTGGAAGGGCGACCCAGTCACTTGCATTGTTCAGGCCGACAACGACAGCAGCTTTCATGAGTGACAACCCAAAAGACCACAGTACAGACCAGAGAAGACCGGCAAGCAACCCTAGCGCTTGCCCCATTACACCAGTACCGGTAGCAGGTTCTTGTCCGAGCAAGGAGCCAGCTGGCGTCGAACCGGTTGTCGCGAGAGAAATCACTTGACAGGATACGCAGTCTCCATCGCACATCTTTTGGATGTTTCCACCATACCCAGGACCATCAATCTTCCAGCGATCCTCCAACTCACAAATCTCCCAGTCAGAAAAACACTCCACTAGATGGTCGTGTCTTGCCTTGGCTTCTTCCTTGGTTGCCAGGCGCCAGCCAATGGGGACCTTGCCAGAGGGATTGTTCCTCTGAATTATCAACATGCTGTTTTTCAAGTCCTCCTGATAGGTGGCATCAGCAGCTTCATCGAACCATTCATGCTCTTGGTACCGGTCCCCAAAGGTTGCACGGAGAGGAGGAATGGTCGTCGCTTTCCAGCCAAAGCGGTGATGATGATGAGCACCATTCCAACCGTGGGCAACACCGACGAGAAGCAGCAGAAGAAGGAGCGTCATTGCAAGAGATGTCAATTGGTTTCCAGTTTTTGTCGAGGTTCCCAAAGAATGTCTTCACGAAAACCCATTCACCGTTGCCGCCAGCTCTGCTATGTAAATTGCCACGTGGTAAAATCAAAAGGGGTACCAGGTACTAGCCGAAATCCTAACGAAAGATCTTTTCCAAGTTTTGAGGGGAAGAACTTCGGAAGTCTTGTTTGCCCTTGCGAACAGCGGTAAGTACTGGATCGTGGTATCTTTGGAATGATACAGAAGTGGCCGAAAGCATGAAACTCCAAGTGTCGGTGCTGTCAACGCTGTTTGCTGACAAGTTTCTGAACCCGGGCTCGCTCAGCTCAGGGTACGACAAGCCCCAACGCATAATTGTTGCTTGGAGCTCATTTCAGCTTTTTTGAACGATCCTCCCAAACCGCCTTGTTGATTGTTGCCCATCGTTGCATGAACGGTTCGGATTGATACGGATCCCAGAACGTCATGGAGCTCATCATTACAAACGTCTGAAACTCTGAAAAGGACGGGAGAATCAGTTGGTGGTCACACAACGTCTGCAACGCCGTTCGAGAGGCTTCATCCTCGTTGCAGGTCATGAGGACTGCCACCAAGCAACAGATCCTGCACTCGCGTTTCTTGCCGCAGCCCTCCACGAATGGCGTACCCCAAGGATGTCGCTGCCTCGACGGCTTTTCGTGCTCCCTTGCGGTCCATATCGCTGGCACACTGCAAGGCTTCCATCATGTGAATGTTGTAGATTGTGTGTTGGAACTCTGGCGGCAGACTGGCGTGAGCGGATACAATCTTTTTCCGACGCGACTTGGAAAGGAGATCGTTGATGGACCGAATCGCTTCTCCGGCACTGAGTCGTTTTTGCGCTTGGACGACTTCTTCGTTCATGGCCTCTAGTTCTGGATTGGACCGCATCAAATGACACCATGGACAGGCACAGTCGAATCCCTTGCCTCCACTCCAACGCTGAAATTTGTCTTTTCGATCGCGGTACGACAGAGCGGCATGGACGTAGCTAATGGCGAGTTCGTCTCCCTTTTGGATGGGTTTGGCGGCATGGACAAACATGAAATTTCCAATCTGTGCCCATGTGCAATTGGGTGTACAGGAATGGTTGAACATGGAGGTTGGCAACCATAGTCCCACACCAAAATCATTGTCGTCGTCCTCCTCCCTTGGCGGTCGGAGCTCAAAGGGTGACGCCGGACTGTTGAGATCCACTCCAAATCGATTGGATTCGAGAATGGATCGAATCCTCGCCAGATCAATCGTCGGTTTTTCTTGTTGTTGTTCAAGTGCCACTTGACCAAACGCCTCGAGTTGATAGAACGACGGGACCAGACTTGGATTGTTGAGTAACGTACATGTAGATACGGCTTCATGGACTTGACTGACTTCATAGAGATGCTTCTTTTTGGCCGTGGTCAGTTTGCCATGATGATGACAAAAGGCAAATGCCCGCGAGGCTGTCAACAAGGTTCCCTCTGGAATGTCTTGTTTGGCCAAGACACCTCGGTAGGAAACGCCATCGGCCGGTCGCACGACGGTGACTCCCAGATCAATGTGAGGAGACTGGTAGTCGGCATAATGGCGGGGCAACATGGGTGATTGCGCTGCTTCTTGCAACAGCTTTCGATAATTGTACTTGCCCATGGATTGTTGCAGTATAGCTTGTAGACAGTCCCCCAGCATGGTTTGGATGGAGGATGCGTCCGTGTTCGGGTCATCTTGCTGGCGTAGTTGAAGGAGGATATCCTTGGCCGCTGTGGGTTGATTGCGATGCAGCAATGCTTTGGCGAGTCGAAACTGTGCCTTGGAATGCTGTGGATCATGATGCTCCAGAATTTGTCGGGCGTATTGTTCGGCTTGGTCGTATCGTTCGGATCGTAAACAGGCTTCTGCCATGTTTCCCAGACACGCCACGACGACATCTTTGTCTTGTGGTTGTTGCTGTTGTTGCTGTTCTATAGTAGCGATTGCTTGTTGGTAGTACCGGAGCGCCGCACGATATGCCTGTTTGGAAAATGCTTCATTGCCCTTGTCTTTGAGTTGAGCGGGAGACAGTGAGTTTTGTGGGGAAGCGGATGGAGCGTCGTTGGTGTTGCTGGCATGACGCATCCATTCTTCCTTAGTATGGAATAGTTGTATGCAATCTGGATTGTCACAACGAATCATGACGAGTGCATGGTTTGTGTGTTTTTGATCATTGGCACTACTACCAGTAGTGGTCCAAATAGTGTTGGGCACTACAAGAGGGTTGGTAATGGCCAAGTAAGTATTCTCAGGGATGGCTTGCCCAATGGTGTGTTCCTCGTGGGCTTGCACGTAGTTCCACAAGGACAACGTCACGACAAGCTTGTCCTCCTCATCATCATCTTCGGATGCTGCTTGAACCAACGTCTAAAGAGCATTGCATTGGACAAAGGGAGTCTTGACGGTGCGACAATACAGAATCCGTTGGGACCATTCCTGATTCACTCGAGACGATACTTCTTTCAACTGGATGGATTCGAGCGGAACATTCTTGGATGGTACAGGGCCTTGCTCTACCAGAGGACGCTCGGAAAGCCATTCTTCCTTACTACTCCTTCGCTTAGTATTGCTACTTGCAACAGCATGAGATTCTTCAAAGAGTTTCGGCAGGGCGCCAGCAAGATCTTGCAGAGATTCCAAAGACACAGAGGACGACTCGCCGTCAGGATTCTGCATCGTTGGCTTAGCTAGTATGAAGCTAGCTGCCTGATGGAATACTTCAACTCAGCACCCGATCGTCAAGTCCTTCCAACCAAATGAAAGGTGCTTCCTCGACAAAGAGCCTTCGTCGGGCGTTTGTGGTTTGTGGGCTTCAAAGATCTTGGATCTTTTCCAACTTTTTGAACTTTTGACAATTGGAGGAACATTTACTGAAAAATTGGGTTGAGAATCGTCAATTTTCTCAAACTAATCGGTGGGAGCGTCGATCGGCACCACCAGGTATCCGTGCATGCCTTTCCATGCTGTGTGATCTCGGGTTGCGGCAGCTTCGCTTCCACAAACATCTCTCACTCGAGCTATCTTCTCTCTATCCTTTGATCCTAGCTAGCTATGAAAGTCTCAGGAGTCCTTCGATGTCTGTGCAATGGAATGTTGTGATGTAACGAAAGCAACAAGGAAAGACACAGAAAATCGTATGCAACGAAGATTCCCTATTTTCTTAAATGCAAGTGATCGAGTCTCGGTCTACAAAAATGAGAAATCCCTTCCCCTTAGTTATCCAACATCCAACCAAGGGCACGGGTACCCATCAACAAGCACAGTCACACCCACACAACAACTCGGTGCAGTCAAAAGATGATCCAGAAGACCCCTCACAAGATTCCAACCCATTGCTGATGCATCTGCCATTGACAGCACAAAGAGGTTCTGGAATAACACCAGAGAGCAAGCTGTTGCCCTCAATCCGGAAACTGTACAGTGATTCCTGCAAGGAAGCCAGTTCAGATGGAACAGTTCCACGGAGGAGATTGTTTTCCATGGTAAGCCTACCCAGGGATGTCAAAAGCCCAAACTCCGAAGGGATACGACCGGTCAAGCGGTTAGCTTCCAGAGTGAGATATTCCAGCTGGGTTAGGCCAGAGAGCTCACTGGGAATGGCACCAGAAAGCTGGTTTGATTCAAGGCCTAGACGAAGAAGTCGCAGCAAACCCAGCACAGAGGGGAGTGTGCCAGTGAAAGAATTGTGGTCCAGTTTCAAAATGGCAGCCGAAGCAAGCAGACCAAGTTCACTAGGCAGAGTTCCCTGGAGAAGATTGCCAGTCAAAGAAAGGATCCAGAGATTTGATAGGGATCCAAGCTCGCTTGGGAGCATACCGGTAAGGTGGTTCCCCAACAAAATCAGCCATTCTAATGATCTAGCCTGACCAAGCTCTGTAGGAATGGTCCCTTGAAATGGAGAAAAAGGACAATCGAAACATGAGCATCAATCAAATAATAGCCTCCTGGCAGTAAGATGCTTTGACAAATGAGACAGCAGACCTACCAGAGAGATCACAGTCATCCAATACCAGCCACCTCAACTTTGGGAAAGCACCAACACTTGATGGAATAGTACCTCGTAACTTCTCATTACGGCCAAGCACAAGGCTGTCCAGATTGCTTAGTTGCCAAAGTTCATCCGGAATGGACCCTTCCAGCTTGTTGTCATTCAGCCCAATGACTTCAAATGATGATATGCTGCCCATTTCCTTTGGTATGGATCCAGACAGCCCAGTCGAGAAAATGGCAAGCCCCCGCAACTGCTGAAGCTGTCCAATGTAGCTCGATATTGAGCCAACAAGAGGATTCAGACCAGCAGAAAGAGTTTCAAGTGAGGTCAAGCTGTAAAGTTCCTTGGGCAGTGAACCCACAAGATTGTTCTGATCTAGCCACAAGTGCTGATAGAGCCCATGCTTGTCACATTGGCTGTCAGGTAGAGGCTCCAAGAAGCCTGATAGGAAGCTTGGGTATAGCTTTCCTAGGAATGACTTGAGAGCAAATTCTTGATTTTGGAACCATGTACATTCATGCAGATGGTAGCTTCCCCAACCTGTCTTGTTGAACCATTGAGTTGGGCCTGCAGTGGAATAGAAGACAGTCATCAGAGCATGCCTTTGCAGTATGCGCTGCTTTGGGTATCCGAAGACAAAGGGATCCTCTAGAAGCCATTGAAAAGCTTGGTACTGCACTGAAGATGTATCTTCCAATGCCTTGGTGGTGTGATCTGGCAGCAGGGATAGGAGGAACGATTCCATGGAGGTCGGAGCTGTGGTTGTGCTCAGGCTCATTGATGGAGCCATTGTTGGGGACTCGGTTGCTTCAATTTGATCTTTGTCTGGCAAGAGGAAAGCGAGCAAGAGTACAACCATGAGAATGGAAATCAACCACGGCACAACCCCCTTCACAGCAGCTTTTAGGTTCTCCTTGCGTCTTTTGACTCTTGCTTCATCCGAGTCTTGTCCAGACTCTCTGACGGTTCGTAGTTTTTCTGCAGTCGGTAAGGTTGTTGTAGATGGCTCGTCAACTGGGACAGCAATGGACAATCTATTGCTGTTTGTTTGAGATGGATTGGCAAATTCGAAGCTTTCACTTTTGAAGGATGTCAGAGAAGCACTTCCGAATAACCTTACTCGCCCCAGAATCGAAAAGCGAAAATCAGTGTTGCGACGTACGCCCACCCCTGGCACTCCAGCATAGGCTCCCGGACGAGCTAGCTCGGTAGTAACTGTTACAGAACCAGGTACTCCAGCATAGGCTCCGGGATGAACTGACTGGTTGACTGCTTGCACCACTTGCCCCACTGTTGGATTGATAACACCGGGTTGTCGTCGTTCCAGCGTTTGGATGTTGTGACGAAAGAAAGATAGCTGGCCTTGTTGTTGGGTGTCACAGAAAGGGGCTTCGACACCCTTTAGTAAATCAAAGTTGGTTTCGAGCTCGTTTCCACTGGACCTGCTTGTTTGGCTATCTTGGCGATCGATATACTGTACTCTCTGCAGATTCATGGTGGCTGCTCTGCAGGCTCTGGCTTCAACAACCTTCATTACATAGTTGGTTCCGTTGCTTTCGTTGCGTGCAATTATAGTCTGCCTTGGTGATAGCGCTCCTGTGGGCCTGATTTCCATGTTGCCGTTTCCTTCTTCTGTTTCATCCGTTTGCTCTGTTTGCTGCAGTGTCGCGTCCGTGGATCGCGATCTAGCCCCAATATCCGCTAGTGCATCACCATCGCTTTCCCCGTGCTCTACACTGGTGTACGAAGTGGTTTGTTCGGGTGCTTCTATTTCACTTGCCTTGGTAGGTGGCTCTCTGTTGGCATTGGAGGCAGTGTTAGATGGCTCGAGCTCATCCACATCAACTCCCTGGTCACAAGCATCAGAAAATTCATCCACATCTACACTCTGGAAATAAGCATCAGTGAGTTCATCAAAATCAATGCCATGGGCAGAAGCAGCTAGAGCTCGCTGGCTCAATTCAACAAGCTTGATTGGATCAAGTTGGTCTTCACCATGACCATTATTCGACATGTTTACTCTGCCTATTACCAGGTATTCTTCAGTCCTAGCTAGCTTGCTACGAGTAGTGCATTCGTTGTGTGTTGCCACTCCCCACTCCCTCGAAAGAGGAAACAACGATGAGTGATGGTTTCGAGGCGTTTCGAGGTCCAAGTCCCACGCATGCGGGGTAGGATAACTGGATTACAAAAGGGCCAAACAAATCCTGGGCAGCAAATGTGCCAAGGAGCCAGTGAGCATGAACGCATGAACGCATGAACGCATGAACGATAAAGTAGACGTGTTGCTAGACTATTCAATTGACAGCACAGAAATTGTTATTTAACTGTAAAGGGCGCAAACGATCCTGGATGTTAATAGAATCTGATGTTGCTGGTTGCGGGAGGATGAATGAATGCAAATGTGCAAGTGATGAGTGATGGGGTCGGTGACCATGACATCGTTGTTTCGCTTGTGGCTTGGCCACAGCCCACTGGCGCTCGCAAACATCGCGCCATAAAATGGCCCCCTCTTCCAAGCTCAATCCAACCACCTGAGCAATTTGTTTTAGTAATTCCATTTACCAGGGTTGCTGGTTCAATTAATATTTCATGAAATAGTTCAACTAGGGTTCACGAACCGGTTCATGAAGCGCACGTTCATGAAGAGGTTCATGGGGGGTTTGGGCCCTTCATGAACTAGGTTCAAGGTTCATCAAAACACACAATTTGGTGAACTTTTCCACATTATTGGTTCATGTGAATTCTACACCACAAATGAGGCAACTCATGTCTAGTTAGCAAAATTTTCCTGACTTGTAACACCACCTTCAGTCCAACGATCCACCATCTACCTCTTGTGCCAGGTTTGGTGACCCACCGTATTGACTTTTGTTCTCAAATGCGAGCTTGCAGGCTGTATTTGCTAACCATAACCCTGTATTTGCTAACCATAACCCTAGGATTTGGTTCATGAATGGGTTCATGAATAGGTTCATGAGGCTGCTCAAAATTGGGGTGTTCACGAACTGGTTCAGTTCACGAGCATCGTGTTACCCGAACTTTTGTGATGAACAAAGTTCACATCCAAAATTAGTTGAACCAGCAACCCTGCCATTTACAGTACTTCTCTCCGTACTCCGTAGCTAGCTAGGTGACCTTTGTGCCTATGTGGCTTAATAAAAATCCAGAAGCAAGTCTCATTTATGCCCATTGGAAGAAGGTTCTCGTTCCTCTACGGGCACGAGCGTGCAGTTGAAGACAAAAGCATTTACGGAGTACCAGGTACTGCTCGAGCACTCAGTGCTCGTACAGCTGCTCGTACCCAGTTCCCAGTTCCAATTCACCTCCTATTCACACTTTCACTGCGAGTCTCCAAGTACATGTACATGTAGCTTTTGCCAGCTGAGTAGTTCCTTTTTTCCTGTATTCTTGGAGTTTTTCATGTATGTATCCTTATAGAACCTTAGTCTACATGTACTAGTACCTCTACGGGCTACCGGTAGCTAGCTAGTGTCGACTGTGGATAGTTCGGTTCACACTGCTCTGCTGCTACGTTATTGGCATGTCGCAGTCTACTTGAAAGCGTATTATTTGTGCCGCGAAGGCTCACTGACTTTGCTGCAGCCAAACAAGTATACGCTAGCTTATTAGCGCTGCCTATCGCTCCCCTCCCTTTGTATTCAGTCAGCCTTCATGCGGCTTGGTTCCACCACTTGTGGATGGTGCTGCAGACGCAATTTTTGCTGAAGGCTGGTTGTACAATTGCGCCGACAGCACCTACGGCGTATGTAGCAATGCTCTGCTGGGTTAAACGGTCCCTCCTTACGTACCGGTATCAGGTGACGTCATTAATAGTCTAGCGAACCCTGGACCGGTAGCAAGGAGTTAAAGTCAATAGTCCAATATTAAATCTCCAGGGTCCTCGCTAACTTGGCTTTCCACAACGGTCCGGTCCCAGCACAGCTATGCAAACTATCAGGACTACGATAAACTCACCCCGGCACATTTCTTATTCATGGTCAGGCCACGCCCACGCGATTTGATGATTCGATTCCTTTGCTCAAGATGAGCCCCGGGCCAACTTGAATAAAATGCCATTGTAGTCTCTAATAGAGTCGACGATCGATAGCAGGATAGATTGTATCGTTCTGTTGGTGTTGTGCGAGTATTCTTGAAACTCGAAACATTCTGGAAACCATCTCACTCCGTGCGTTTCCTCTTTCGTGCGAGTGGTGCGCTCTTCAACAAAAAGCACCAGTGAAGAAGTATCTGGTACGTAGATCATTCTACCTACTCTAAACCCCCCGTGTATCTGGTACCTGGTAAAACATGCAGGAAGAAGACCTGGATCCACTCAAACTTGTGGAATTGCGCCAAAGAGCTCTATCAGTGTTGGCCCAGAGTGTTGATGTGGATGAAGTCAATGATGCTTATGACCAGGGTGTAGATGTTGATGAAATTGCTGATGCTTGTGACGAGGGAGTAGATGTGGATGAGCTTGAGCTGTCTAACACTGCCCCTGCCACCTCTGGGGATCCAGAGGCCTCAGAAAATGAAGTGGGATCAAACAGACGAAAGGAAGAAGCACCCCAACAAAGCACTGCTACTAGCAGTGCCAGCATAAATGTTGCAACAGTGGAACGCCAAGAGAGCAACTTTGACGTCCTAAAGGTTGCTGAAGCCAGAGCCAGAGCAGCCAACATGGAACTATCGCGGGTACAGCATATTGATGCCTCTGATCCAGCAAACAACCCGGAAAAAATCAGTCCTGCAGGATCACCAAGGCAGACTACAATCACACAGAACGAAACCACCTTTGATTTACTAAAGGGTGTACAAGCCCCTTTCTGTGACACCCAACAAAGAGGCCGGCTAACATTCTTCCGTCACAACATGCAAACGCTGGATGGACAACAACCCCGTGTCATTAACCCAACAATGGCGGAAGCGGTGCAAGCAGTCAACCAGACAGTTTCTCCCGGAGCCTATGCTGGAGTATCTGTCCAGTCCGCTCGTCCTGGAGCCTATGCGGGAGCTCCAGGGGCCAGCTTACACCGCAACAACACAATGCGTTTTTCTATTTTGGGACGAGAAGGATTTTTTGAGAGTGCTTCTATGACCTCCTTCCAGAGCGAAAACTTTGAAGCTGATCCAACCAACGAGACAAACAGCAATAGAATGTCTGTTGCCATCCCAGTTGACGAGCCTTCAACAACAAACTTGCAGACTGCACAAGAACTACAAACCATCAGTGAGTCTGGACAAGGGTCGGATGACGCAAGAATCAAAAGACGCAAAGAGAACTTCAAAGCTACACTGAAGATTGCAGTACCAGGGTTGCTTTTGATTCTCGTTATTGTACTCTTGCTCGTTTTCCTCTTGCCAGACAAAGATCAAGTTGACGCAACAAAGTATCCAACAACAGCACAATCAATGAACCCCACCCCGGCCACAACCTCTGTGGAATCATTCCTCCTATCCCTGCTGCCTGAGAACACCACCAAGGCATTGGAAGATACATCTTCAGCACAGTACCAAGCTTTTCAATGGCTTCTAGAGGATCCCTTCGTCTTTGGATACCCAAAGCAGCGCATACTCCAAAGGTATGCTCTGATGACTGTCTTCTATGCGACCGCTGGCCCAACTCAATGGTTCAACAAGACAGGGTGGGGAAGCTACTATCTGCATGAATGTGCATGGTTTCAAAATCAAGAATTTGCTCTCAAGTCATTCATAGGAAAGCTATACCCGGGCTTCCTATCGGGGTTCTTGGAGCCTCTACCTGACATACAGTGTGACAACCAAGGACGCTATCAGCATTTGTGGTTGGATCAGAACAATCTTGTGGGTTCACTGCCCAAGGAACTTTACAGCTTGACCTCACTTGAGACCTTTTCTGCTGGTCTGAATCCTCTTGTTGGCTCAATATCGAGCTACATTGGACAGCTTCAGCAGTTGCGGGGGCTTGCCATTTTCTCGACTGGGCTGTCTGGATCCATACCAAAGGAAATGGGCAGCATATCATCATTTGAAGTCATTGGGCTGAATGACAACAAGCTGGAAGGGTCCATTCCGGATGAACTTTGGCAACTAAGCAATCTGGACAGCCTTGTGCTTGGCCGTAATGAGAAGTTACGAGGTACTATTCCATCAAGTGTTGGTGCTTTCCCAAAGTTGAGGTGGCTGGTATTGGATGACTGTGATCTCTCTGGTAAGTCTTTTGCGGTGTCTCATTTGTCAAAGCATCTTACTGCCAGGAGGCTATTATTTGATTGTTTCTCATCGTTTGATTGTCCTTTTTCTCCATTTCAAGGTACCATTCCTACAGAGCTTGGTCAGGCTAGATCTCTAGAATTTCTGGTTTTGCTGGGGAATCAGCTTACCGGTATGCTCCCAAGTGAGCTTGGATCCCTATCAAATATCTGGATTCTTTCTTTGTTAGGCAATCTTCTCCAAGGGACTCTTCCCAGTCAACTCGGTCTTCTGAAAACATCCCACATTCTCCTGCGCCACAATTTCTTCACTGGCACTCTCCCCTCTGAGCTGGGTCTCACTCCACTTCAATGGCTAGGCATTGAGTCAAACCAGCTTTCTGGTGCCATTCCCAGTGCTTTCTCTAGCCTTTCCAATTTTGAGCATTTCTCTCTAGGCGACAACAGCTTCACTGGAGAAATTCCTTCTGAGTTTGGACTTTTGACATCCCTGAAGAGGCTTAGCATGGAAAACAATCACCTCCGTGGAACTGTTCCAGCGGAATTGGCTTCCTTGCAGAAATCACTTTACAGCTTCCGGATTGATGGAAACCCACAACTCTCTGGTGTGATACCAGAACCTCTTTGTATGGTGAATGGCACATGCATTAGCGATAGTTTGGGATCTCATTGTGAGGGGTATTCTGGAACATCTTTTGACTGCACCGAGTTGTTGTGTGGGTGCGACTGTCCCTGCTGAGTTTGTCTGGTCCTTTGAAAACCCAAGTCCATTGAGCTATAGCAACGTTGAGGGTTCCATTCGATGCAGCGAAGCAGTGGAAAAGAACGGGTGTGTCCCCCCACCACCATTACCTTTTTTTACGATTTCATGCTCCATTTTTAGTGACATTACATTCAATTTTAGTCCAAATCAAAACCTTTTTCTTTGGGTTGTATTTTGGATCTTTTGAGAAATCTTTCCATTTTGTATCTTCGCCATGGAGCGGTTGTCACTTCTCGATCTGTTCGAACACTGTGATGAATATCGTTCAGAAGATGACGATGCTGACACCAATCCGTACATGCTCTGGCTCGGCTGCCATCCTCTATGGTCTGGTTCTAACGTTGTTGTGTCTGTCGTTTGGATGGGCTCAGGAAGAAAGACTGTTGCAGGCTGCCATTGACCGGAAATCGGGAGGAGCCACCATTTCTGTGGAGCAAGAACCATGGTTGAATATACAGCCACAAGGCATGGCGGTACAAGGATGGGGCCACTTGCGGTTGATACAGAGGACAGTTACTCCCAAGATGGAACATCCACTCTTTGGAACCTACACGCAGTATCGATTTGTCTGGCAACAGCCCAAAGAAGAAGAACAGAACATGGAAACCAGCTACCTTGTCTTTGAAGAACGAGACATGATCATCTTTGATCAGCACTTTACCAAGGGGTGGAAGAATCCAGGCAACACCAACAATGAGATTGTCGCTGGTTTTCCAGCCATATCGACTAGTCTTGCCAAGAAAGACCTTGGATATCTCGTTTGGGGGGGTTGCTTCCTGTGGTCTGCGCTTCACGGGGATTGGAAGGATCTTAAAGAAAAGGACTTTGCCGGCCTCTTTGATGGTCATGTCCATGGCCAGCCTTGGGTCTTGCACTCGTCCAATAAAACGCTAGTTTGGAGCAGCATCAACAGTTTCTTTGTCAGTGGATTTGCCTATGCAAATGCCACCACTGCTAGGACTGGTGTTGGCGGTGCTGGTGTCATCCAGGCTGGTCTACGGACTTCTCTGGACGGCATTCCTCAAAATCACCATTATTCCTCCGTTTTGGTGGCGGGAGGAAAGGGAATCAATGCCACCTTGATGAAATGGGGAGATGCTCTGCTGGCATTGGGAAACAAGACAAGGAATCATGTGTATGACGATTTCATTCTGGCTCATGCGGGATACTTCACCGACAATGGTGCCTATCATTATAGGGGAGCTCATCAACCAGAATATGCCAACATGGAAGAAGCTCTCTTGGGTGTCAAGAATGGATTCCGTCAACAGGGGATTCCTATTCGCTACATTCAGTGGGACGACTGGTGGATGGAAAGCAAGGGAGATTTACCCGGAATGCTCTCCTGGACCCCCAAGAAAGACGTCTTTCCTTCAGGATTTACCAATTGGCTCGACATGCCCCTGTCCATGTATGCTCCCGGATACAGTGGAGAAAATATTTGGATCGATCAGTACAAATGGAAGACGGTCAAGACGGGTCATGGCGACATGTCTATTCCATTGGATCCAAAGTTCTACCTAGATTTGTTTCAAAACGGAACCAAAATTGGAATGAAACTGTTTGAACAAGACTTTTTGTGCTCCCAAGGAATTGGTAGAACCAATCTCACCCGAACAGACGTCGACTCGGGGAGGATGTGGTTGAGTCAAATGAACGATGCGGCTCTTGCCTATAACGTGACGCTCCAACTCTGCATGCCGGATAGCTATCATCTCCTGCAATCCACTACACTACAGAGCGTCACCAATGCGCGTGCAACCTACGACAATACGCGCAACGCCCCCAGTATTCTGGCCATGGGCCCCAATTCGCTCTTGTTTCATGCACTGGGATTGTTTGCGTCGCGGGACAACATCTGGACTTCGGGTCCCACTGTGAACCAAACTGGTTGTGGCAACTCGGACTTTTGTTACGAGCCGAATGCACATCTCGACAATGCCGTGACTGTTCTATCCAATGGTCCCTATGGCATTGGAGATTCCGTGGATCACGTGAACAAAACCATTGTCATGTATGCCTGCCGAAAAGACGGTTGGATGTTGCGGCCTCGTTGGCCTCTGGCTTCGATGGACTTTACCTACACGGATGCTGACGCCAAAACAGCCAAGGTATGGGCCGCCCATGACGACTTTGGGCAATCCTATCGCTGGTCGTACATCATTGGCGTCAAGCTGTTGCACGCCGTGGCCATTACACCCAAGAGACTCATCCAAGGAGCATTCGAATCGTTTCCTTCCCAAATGGTGGCGTGGAAAGTTGTGCCCGATGGTGCACCTCCGACGGAAGTACACTTGTTTTCCGAGGATGCGCCGTTTTTCCTTCCCAAATCCGAGCCATTGAACCTTCCCTACGACGTTACGACTCCGCCGCATACTCACTATGCCGTGGCTCCCGTACTGTCCAATAACATGGTGATCCTTGGCGAAGTGGGCAAGTGGGCTTCCATGTCATTTGGGAGGTTCTCTCTGTTTCATGTCAAGGGTACGGTGGAAGCTATGGTGATTGGTTCGCCAGGTGAAACTTTCACGATTGCCTACATGTTGAACGTCAAAGATTCTGTCCGCACAAAGGTCTACCAGTTCCCCGATTCCTGCAGCTATGTGGATCAGCATCGCAATCGCGTCTGCGAAGCCATTCTGCAATGCGCTCCGGACTACGGGTGCATTTTCGTTCACGCCGAGGCGGATACAGATTCGTTTCAAAAGGCACATTGAAAATCTTGGGAACCAGCCAGTTGCGACAACCGCTACAGCCGAGTTCAAAGTACACGTAGTGACACCACTTGGGATCGTTCTTGGCAGTCATCGAGACGACGACCGTGACGCACAACGATACATAGGAGTAACGATAGAACTATCAGACTATGAATACTACATGTAGCTACTAGCTAGCCGTGTGCCTTGGATGTTTGAAGGGAGAGCTCGAGTCCACCGGGCCATGCTTGATTGTCCAAAGTCCTGACACCCAACATGCACCGTACTACCCGGGGGTGGCTGCCGCTAAGGTCCGGATGGGCAGTACCTACCGGTACCGGTATGATAGTGAAGGTTCACGAAGAAGAAGAATAGATGTGACCAGCTACGGTGCCGTCGAGCTAGCTCTTGCTTTAGTTAGACAAGAAAATAAAAAAATGTGTTCCGTTATTAAAACAAACGAAACTGTCACACCACTGAGTTCCTTTTGTGAATGTTACTCCAGAGGGGGTTGCTTGCGTGGGGTTTCTATTCTATCTTCCCTTGCCCACGCCCTCATTCATAAGAACGCAACGAAATAAGCTAAGCTGACATGTTTGATTCTGATTTGCCCCATGCACTCACTGCTCGTCTCCACCAGCGTACCGTGCTGCAAGATCTTTCCTTCCATCCCTATACCCAAGCCTTGCATAGTACTGTACGTGTGTGTCGCGAGTGCCTTTCCATGTTGCTGTTGCTATTGTTGCGAATCCAAGAGCTGCCTCGATAGTTGGAACTGATGTATGAAATGAATGAATTGTTTGTTTGTTTGTCTGTTTCTTTGTTCTTGTGCAAAATTGGATCTTCTCAAAAAGAGAGAAAACTGTAGTTGTTGGTTTGTTGGTTGGTTCTTACATACATGTAAGAGTGACATGCATATAGAGGTTGTTTGGATTTGGACTGGCTACTACACTACAACCACAGCTCTTGTTGCTGCTGCTGCTGCGACAGTTGTAGATGATTGGGACAGAATCGATCCCATTCTTGTACAATGACGGCGGCAATCTCCGGACTGCGCAACATGCGTTGCTGTTTGAGCAATGTGAACTGTTGCTTGAGACGTTGTACATTGACATTTTCGTAGAGCGCCCGTCGACAAGGTGCCTTGAAAAGGACAAACTGAAGGGATTGCCCCGTGAGATTGTTTTCGGGCAAGTGATCTCCGAGGAATCGCGCCATTTCCACGTCGAGGTCGTCGGGAAGAATGGCCGTGTAGTAGTCCTTCTTGTCGGCTTCCTCCTTCTTACTGTCCTCCCCGTTGCATAGTGCCGGCAATGCTTTATAGGGTTGTACAACAATGGATGCCTGCTTGAGTGGTAGTTGAATCTTGTACTTTTGGAATTCGTAGTATGCCAACTGGACTAGATTGATATCTTTGGGAATGTCGTTGGTCGTGTAGAGTGCTAGAATGGCTTGTTGTCCATTCTTGTGGAGCGGAATGCCCAATCCCTTCTTGACGCCGTGTTTCTTGGCCAAGTCGGTTCGTGGAAAGTCTTGATAGGACGCTCGTTGAAGACTGTCGTCCCACATGGGTTCGGTGGTTTCAAAGACGCGTCCGGGCAATCCAATCCCCGGCAGAAAGGCGTACTGTTCACTGGATCGCCCAAACTGATTCATGTTGTAGAGCGTCATGATGGACATCATGTCGGTATTGCCGTTGGTTCCGTGGCCCACATGCCGGAGGACAGCACTACTGTCAGTCTTGTCATCATCGTCTTGCTTTTGCTCTTGACTGGTCAGCGTCTCTTCTGGCACCCAAATGTCAAAGTACTCAAAGGGCAGCTTTTCTCGTTGCATAATGGTCGCCACATGGTTGGTAAAGGGCTTCCAGTCATTGACGGCTTGGCACAAGACGTCGGCTTCTTCTTGGTTACCCGTACTACTAGTAGTAGCAGTAGAAGCAGTGTCTTGTTGTGCGGAAGAGTCTTCTACATGCATTCGCTTCTTCTTCGTGTCCATGGTTGGCTCGGCCGTCTCCACACTGGCAATCAAAAAGTCCAAGTCAGTCACGGGCAACGCGTCCTTTCTCTTGCTGCTGCCGTTCATGCTACTACTAGTATCGTCGTCGTCGTCCTCCAGAAGACTGACTAGTAGATCTTCGTCGTCGTCTTCCGAATCGTCTTCCCTCTCGATGAGGACATTGTCAAAGTAGACTCCCGAACAACGCTCGTCCTTCTTCGTACTCTTCATAATCAGCGCGTCGCTGTCAGCATGGTCCTTCCTCTTTGTCTTCTGCTGCTTGGTTAAGAACAACCGAGGAGCTCGAATCGCTTGCTTTTGCAGCTCCAAAAGACCTACATTCTTACTACTGGTACCATCATCATCGATCCTGTTCTCTCCAATACTACTACTACGACCGCTACGACCACCGCCCAACCTACTACTACTGGAACTTGCCACAAACTCAGGAGGAGCCAAGTTTCTGCTGCCTATGCTATCGGGAAACATTGTAGCCATCATTGCTCTATCTATGGTACTAGTCTAGTAGTACTATCTTGATAGAATGTATTCTGATAGGTAATAAGTGATGTTCCTTCTGAAAGCTTCCGCTCGTATCGTGTCAACCATTCGAATGATTCAATTCAATTCAATTCAATTCAATCGAACCATTCCAAAAAAGATCGGGTGGGCCATTGGAGGTGGGGACAACAGCGTTGCCTCATCATCTTGGCAACTTCGACGTGGCCGAACGGCAGCGACCCACTTTGCCTCGCAAACTTCCTTCCGATCTTTGAGAAGCAACAATTCCGAGACTCTATCTCATAATCCTTTTTTTCAGTGCTGTTGCGACACTCTCCGGACGGAAGCCAAAACAGCTGGAGGCATTCCTTGTGGAAGACTGTTTCGAGAGGTAGATGTGGTAAACATACTCCGCAAATTTGATTGATTCCAATTTATTTATTACCACATCTTTCTTTCATTCCGCCCAAAGCTGTCTTTTCAGCTGGTCTCTCATCTATCCAAGACTCCCAACTTTGACGTGGCCGAAACGAAAAGTGACCTCTATCTCGACTTCCCTTGATTCTATGACCCCCAGATCTCACACATTTATCGATCTGGCACGGCTTGCTCTCCACGTGCTTCAACGCTCGATAATCAGTTAGCCAAAGGCCAGTCGCTAAATTCACCCGAACACCCCTGAGCGTTTAAGGAGTATAGTACCAAGGTAGCCTAGTCTTATATGTTTAGATCTATTATCCAAGAGGGTTCCACGCTGAGGAGTGTTTGTGATTTTCGCCAAAGGTATTGTAGACGGTTTATTTGTCTCTATTCGGAAGCATTCGGAAGGCGATTATTCAAAAATTCGGAAATCGGAACCCAGAAATCATGTGACAACGGTCAAATCAATCTCAGATTGCCCGTCTTTGGGAATTTCAATTCGTGAATCCCATTATTATACCATGTGATACAGTAGGAGGGTGTGCGATTTTTCCTAAAGAGACGTAAAACCAATACGAACAACCGTTAACATGCAGTCCTAAGAGAAACCAAACTGTTGGCTCTTGTTGTCAACAACTCCATCCAACCACCTCCGACCAACAGCAATGCCACTCCAATCCTCATTATTCCTGCTTTCGAAAACCCAAAAAGGTAAGCAGAAGCTATTGTGTTTTCTCCGCTCCTTCTGTTGTTGATTGTCATTTCTTTCTTTTGATTTCATCTAACCCTTTTTCCTTTGTTTTGTTTGATCAAGATGGCATCAACCGCTCCATGAGGAGTAACTCGAGTTCCAGCAGTGGCAACAAGATGATGAAGAGCCGCCTCCCTTTGTTGCCCATTTCATGATGGTCGCTACAAGAGCCTTCGCTCATTCGCAGTATTGCACTGACTTACCCCTTGCCCGCAGGCACACCTTGGTGATTCTGGAGGCCACATAATGCCAAAATAATACGACTTGCATCACCCCAATGGCAACCTGGTAGCCTCCCATTTTTTGCG